GTGTCCGATGTCCCAATATTTATGGACCTGACTGTATATCATGGCAGCAGCAGATGTTGTACTCTAGCAAATATCCTGTATCCAGATGCACCTGCATTCTGGAAATTATGTGTTGGTAGTAAGGAGGTGCAAGATTTCATGTGTCAAATGTTTGTAATGCTTTTATTTTATGAATTTAGTATTTATAGGGACTAGAACAACTGCCTAGTTGTATTTCTGTCTGTGGTCATCAGAAAAGAAATAGAGAGGACATCTTCCAGTTGGGGCAGTAGTCAGGGGACCCTGATTACTACCAGGGATTTCTCTCACTTCCTGTTGTGGCTATAGGGCCGGACGTGAAGGGTAATCTCTCCAATGGGACTCAAATGGCAAAAAAAAAACTGTCAAGGGTTATTGATCTTCCTTAGTCTTTACAAATTGGAAGAAAAAAACAGTTTGGCCATCAATTCTACTTTAAAGAAACCATTTCTACAAGAAATGTAGAGGGGGACAATATTGCCTTTGTGTTCTGAAAGCGCTAGATGCCTGGTTGTGGCTGTTAGGCTGAACTTTCCAGTCACAGGCTTGGAATAAGTAGGCAGATAGGGATTTCTGCCTACACTGATTTTAGGGATTAACATACATGTTGGGGTGGTGACTAAAATCAGAAAGAGAGAAGCAGCCAGGCAGTCAGTATTTCAAGAAGGACACCAACAGTGGAAGCCTAAGAAATTCTCACAGTACAGATTTCCCAGATATCAGTAGAGGCATTTTAAACAATAAAAATACACAACTGAGTTTTTTAATTATTTAACATCTAATACTAAAAAACATTTATAAGTTGTAAAAACGATTTTTCAGACTCCAAGAAGTCACTTTCAACATTTACAGGGCTAGACACAGACTGTGGACTTTTATAATGGCTGCATTGGCTTAAATGCATAGTTCACCTTTCTGAAAAAAAAACTGCCTATGCAGATAAAGTGTGTATGTAGATAAAAAGTGCAACTTTGACCAAAATTGAATAATGCCCTTGCTATAGGTGTAGGGTAGGCCATGTATGTACCTCCTGAAGCCTGACTGGAAAACTCCTAGGATATCACCAAGACGTGTAGCTGTTAGCCAAAAGGATGGCCAAAACCAGCCAAAACCTTTATAATTGTATTGCCAGAGGTTTCTTTTCTAAAGAGTGTAGTTTCCAAAGTTGCATCCATTGAAAGCATAATTTTAATATCTAAAAAGCATACTTGACAATGGCTATAAGTGTAAGTAAACTTTAAGGTATAGTCATTGCCATTCCATAACTGTATAAAAATGCATAGATCTACCACAGAGCCTGTCCAGATAATGAAAACATCGTCTATGTACCTGTGCAACGCTAAAATGTAGTATAGGAACATAGACAAGTCCTCCCTACCAAATAGGTCCTACCCCCCCTTCCAAGTACAGGTTTGAGTATGATGGGGCACAACATGTACCTATCGCAACACCCTGCACTTGGAGTAAGTGGGAGCTCAAATAGAAAAGGACATTAGAGTGTAAAATATGCCTCAAGAGAGTAAAATAAACTTGTTTAATGGCCAGTTAGTTACATTCTGCCCATAAAGGAAAGGTGCTTCCTCCTGAAGGCTGCAATCATGTGGGATGCTGGAATAGCGGACCTCCACATCTACTGTCACCAGGAGCGCTCCCACAGGGACAATCAATCTATCCAAAATATACAGCAGGTCAGGAGTATCTTTCTTAGGATGGGAGCCTAATGATAAGCTGTTATTAAATATCTTCTGGAATTCCTGTACTTTTGCAAGATGGACATACACATGTTATACTGACAAATGTCCATCACAATGTTGTTTCCGCTTTTATTGGCTAGTTTTATTACTATACTGGTGTCTTCTGTAAGTTTGATGGGACCTTCTGTTGGTCCATAGTTAGATTTTTATTATTGATTGTTCTTAATTGTAATGTGTCAATTTCTTCAGTTGCCGGCATCAAAAAAGCAAAAAGGTGACATTTAAAGAGTAGGGGACTTATTTGACTTCCATTTATATTTAGTTTTGTCCTGTAATGGCGATTTCATGTAGTTGTGGATGACAGATGTAGTTTCCATCTTCATGTCAAATATGTGTTCTTTGGGGGTGTTTATTTACATAGGGCATCAAAGAGAGTAAGGGGTTGATCACACTTGAGGTTTGGGAAGTGTTTTTAACGCTCCTCAAATGCTCCCCAAATGCCCTGTGTGCTTTTTTGAGTTATTTGATAGTCGTTTTCCAAGCATTAAAACCTCACCACAAAAGATTTGATTTGGCATGAGGTGTCAGTTTTTACGTGACGCTAACACAGTGAACAGCACTGTGTGCTGCCATGTATAGAATTTTTATAGGTGTTTTAAGAGCGTTAAAAACGTCCATCAAACACCTGCAAAATGCCTGCTTACAAAGCTAGTGTGAACTTAGCCTAAGTGAAATACTCCTGTGAACATCTCACACAGTGCTGTTTGTAGTACAAGTTATAACTGTCTCAATTGCCAGTGTTTTAGGAACCACAATTAATAATGTTTCTGCTTGCACTTGCCTCATCTACATGTTAGATGCTAAGGGGGTAGTAGCAATTTGAATGAGCCATGAGACAGCTCTGATGCCTTATTTTCTGAAGTTAGGAATCTCTTTTGGAAATGTGAAATCTCAGGGCTAACAAAGGAAATGGAGTCTTCTGCAGATGGCATGACCGCCGTTTCTGTGCAGCTAATGTAATTTGAAGTCCTGTTGGTCATAGAAAAGCGCTAACATGCCTATAGTAGTATAAACTCATTTATGTGGTACCATCAGTCTCTGCTGATGATTTATTCAAAGTTATTTCTTCCTGTTGACAGCTATGGAACCACTACTATTCTCCTTTATCTTATTTCCTAAAGTGGTATTAAACGCAAAAGCAAATGTTTATTATATTGCAGCTTACCATTTCTTAGATGTGGTGGCTGCATTAATTTTCCTTTTTATGCTTTCTTTCTTCTATATTCGTTTGGTAATCCAGCCAGTACGTTTGCTTTTCAATAGAACAAGTTCTCTAGCAGAATTTATCATTACGCAGATGAGACAATCACTTTAACACTAGCAGAGGTGTTTACAATGATCAGATTTTATTTATTATATAAAACTTTTGTCCTAAAAGGCTTCAAATTGTTAGTGTAGTTAAATCTGCTAGTTCAAGGATTGACAAATTTGCTTTGAATCCAGGAGCCAGCTAAGAAAGATAGGAGCTAGTTTTCTTTAAATCTGCATGCCCAGGGCATCGGGCAATAGGATTTGCTCAAGCCTGGTGCCAAACAAAAAAAGAAAAAAAGATTTTGAAAAATAGACTTTTTTTAGTCTCTATTCTAAAATTTGGCAAATAAGTAATTTTTCGGAACTGATGGACACTAATAGGTGGCACTGATGAATCTGTTCTGTTACCTTTCTCAAACCTGCGTGTTTTCCTCTTTGTAGGGGTGGAGGGTGGGTAAAAGGAACTGAAGCCATAACCAGCTGCTCCACACACTCCCTGTCCCTCACTGGTGGTAAGGAAAGGGCTCCAGATTAAGCCCGCAACTGCAATCCCAGCACCTAGCTGACCAACTAGGAAGGAGAGGTTGGAGGTGGGCGAACATTGAGAGTAATTTTGTGGGTGAGACGCTCGTACAGGTACAATCACATACTTGAACATCTGCCCTACTTCTGGGTTCAGGGCACGCTGTAATTGGACACAGCGGGATTTGTTCAACAGGTTTCAGCCAATGATTCGTGGCTTAGACCTGCTAATCAGCTGTGTCCAACCACAGTCCAGAGACCTGTGCTGTCAAACACACAGGGCTCTGTACAGATATTTGGTAAAAAGCAGCACACATTACACATTGTTAGGCAAGCAGTTAACACTTGGATCACTCCTAGATCTTAACCCTTTCCCAGCCAGTGTCATTAGCACAGTGACAGTATATGGTTTTGTCACTGATCACGGTATTAGTGTCAATGGTGATGTTAGTGTCAGATTGCCCGTTGCACTATCACAGTCCCACTGTAAGTCGCTGATCACCACCATTACAAGTATAAAAAAGTACATAATTAAAAATTCCAGTATATATAACGTACGTAGTTTGTGAACGCTATCACAGAAACCAATCAATATATACCTATTGTTTTTTTTTTTGTTGTTTTTTTTAAACAAAGACATGCAGCAGAATACATTTTGGCCTTTAATTTATGAAGAAATTAGATTTTTTTTTTTATTGGATATGTTTTATACCAGAAAGTAGAAAATATTGTTTTAATTAAATAGTTTTTTTCAAAAATTTCTGTCTATTTTTGTTTATATAATAAAAAATAAAAAACCCATTGGTGATCAAATACCAACACCAAAAGAAAGTGCTATTTGTGTAAAAAAAAAAAAAAAAAAAAACCATACATTTCATTTGGTTACAATGTTATATGATGGTGCAATTACCAGCTAAAGTAGCTCAGTTCTAAATAACAAAAAAAAGTCTTGGTCATGAAGTGGGGGGGACCTTAGAGCTCCCAGAGCTCAAGTGGTTAAAGTGGAACTTTAGTCAGAGAATTCAGTCCTGCTAGATGACTTCAGACTGGCTTTTTTTTTTCAGATATAGCTATGTAAAACATAAAAAAAGTAAGTGCCTATACTGTATGAAATCCAGTACTACACTGTCTCACCCTGCTCTGCACATGCTCAGTTGCTCTTTATTTTTATGCATTGTGCTGAATATGTAGAGGCGGATCTGCTGACAACCTAAAGATTTACTTGCTGCTCAGGGTCCGTGGGCTTTAGCAAAATGGAAGCCTCCAGAAAGAAGAAACAGCAATAATGCTGGAGACTATTTACAGCACATACTCATTTTGGTAGAATAATTATTAATGTGGAATGTGTGTTCCTTGCTAAACATTTTTATCAGGTTGTTATGGGTAAAGTTCGACTTTCAGTACATGGTAGCATTGTCAGTAGAGCTTTGCTTATTGTGATCATTTTCTCTTTAGTACCACACAGGAAAGACTGCTGTGAATGAAGAGTCTAATAAACAATCTTACGTCACTTGCCAGTCAGATCACATGGATTGTGAGATAGACACTAATAACTGGAAGCAAAAGGTAAGGGTTAAATTATATGCTCAAAATTTAGTGTATACTTTAGCTACATATTTTATTTTCTTGGAACTTAATTTGTTGTAAATACAAGACTCTGGAAACAGATAAGTAGCCTCAAAAAAGGAAGTTGAAACTTTTACAGTGAGGAACAGAAGTATTTGAACACCCTGCGATTTTGCAAGTTCACCCACTTAGAAGTCATGGAGGGGTATGAAATTCACATTGTAGGTGCATTCCCACTCTGAGAGACAGAATAAAAAAAAAAAATCAGGAAATCACATTGTATGATTTTTAAAGAATGTATTTGTCTTGCACTGCTGAACATAAGTATTTGAACACCTAAGAAACAGCAAGAATTCTTGCTCTCAAAGACCTGTTACTGTGCTTTAAAAAGTCCACCTCTACTCCACTCATTAATCTAACTTAGTAGCACCTGTCTGAGCTCTTTAAAGACACCTGTCCACCCCACAGTCAGTCAGATGCCAACTACTACCATGGGCAAGACCGAAGAGCTGTCAAAAGACACCAGAGACAAAATTGTGGACCTCCACAAGGCTGGAAAGGGCTACGGGGCAATTGCCAAGCAGCTTGGTGAAAATAGATCAACTGTTGGAGCAATTGTTAGAAAATGGAAGAGGCTAAAGATGACTGTCAGTCTCCCTCGGACTGGGGCTCCATGCAAGATCTCACCTCGTGGGGTATCACTGATGATTAGAAAGGTGAGGAATCAGCCCAGAACTACAATGGAGGAGCTGGTCAATGACATGAAAAGAGCTGGGACCACATTTTCAAAGGTCACTGTCGGTAGAACACTACGCCCTCATAGTTTCAAATCATGCATTGCACGGAAGGTTCCCCTGCTCAAGTCATCACTTGTCCAGGCCCGTCTGAAGTTTGCCAATGACCATCTGGATGATCCAGAGGCGGCATGGGAGAAAGTCATGTGGTCAGATGAGACCAAAGTAGAACTTTTTGGTCTAAACTTCACTCGTCGTGTTTGGAGGAAAAAGAAGGATGAGTTGCATCCCAAGAACACCATCCCTACTGTGAAGCATAGGGGTGGTAACATCATGCTTTGGGGGTGCTTTTCTGTGAAGGGGACAGGACAACGGCACTGTATTAAGGAGAGGATGAATGGGGCCATTTATTGTGAGATTTTGAGCAACAACCTCCTTCCCTCAGTCAGAGCATTGAAGGTGGGTCATGGTTGGGTCTTCCAACATGACAACGACCCGAAGCACACAGCCAAGATAACCAAGGAGTGGCTCCGTAAGAAGCATATCAAGGTTCTGGAGTGGCCTCGCCAGTCTCCAGACCTAAATCCAATAGAATATCTTTGGAGGGAGCTGAAACTCCGTGTTGCTCAGCGACAGCCCCGAAACCTGACAGATCTAGAGGAGATCTGTGTGGAGGAGTGGGCCAAAATCCCTGTTGCAGTGTGTGCAAACCTGGTCAAGAACTACAGGAAACGTTTGACCTCTGTAATTGCAAACAAAGGCTTCTGTACCAAATATTAACACTGATTTTCTCAGGTGTTCAAATACTTATGTTCAGCAGTGCAAGACAAATAAATTCTTTATAAATCATACAATGTGATTTCCTGAATTTTTTTTTTAATTCTGTCTCTCAGAGTGGGAATGCACCTACAATGTGAATTTCAGACCCCTCCATGATTTTTAAGTGGGAGAACTTGCAAAATCGCAGGGTGTTCAAATACTTCTGTTCCTCACTGTATTTCTAGGAACTAATGATCATTTTGCAAATTCTTCATTGTAATATTTTTTTTACAACATTTATGTGAGTAACAGCTGCTCTGTCAGTATATGCTGTGTTACTGGGAGGCTGGACATTATGCAAATTAAGATGGCACAGCTCTACCTAGTGGCTGTACCCCAACATATACCTAGTGAGTCCAATTTATATTAGTGACCTTAGGATGTCTCCCTCCATCTGCTGGATGAAGACCCTTAAGAGTTTCTCACTATGCTGCATGACTATCAATCAACAGCTGCTGCAAGTGTCATACTAGACCCCCAGATCTTGTAGATTGACCTAGCAGTGCACAGTAGCCACTGCTAGGTGAATTTCATTTGGTTACAATGTTACATGACGGTGCCATACTGGACCCGCAGATCAAGATTTATCAAGCAGCCGTTCGGCTTCTTTGTGCCATATTTAATCTCCCAACCTTTTGCTCTCCTAAAAATGGTGAGTTGGCTGTATAGGGGGAAGAGGGAGTGTTGTGTCCAACCAGAGGAAAACGTGTTATTTTTCTAACTGCTTTTTTATTGCTAACATACAAAATCTACTACTCCCTTTATTACCACTAACTAACCTGCTATTGGGACTGTAACAGCTCCGTATTCTCCCACTCTGCTAATGCTGCTTTTTAAAGTTTCCACTTCCACCTTCCCTTTCTAGGAACTTCCTACTCAAAGCAGAGAGGTACCTTTTTTTGTTTCCTTTTGGGCATTCTTTCTGGTGCACCTCTGCCAGGAAGTAGGCAAACCTCATATCAGAGTGATCGTACAGCCCTGGGAACAATCCTGCGTGTTGCTTTTCTACACTTCTCCAGTTCCATTTCTTTCTACATCCGGGGATACATCAGGCAATGCGAGTGCACAGCTGGGATTCCTGACGTTTACTTTACATTGAAGTACAGTGCCTTTCTGAGTCCTTGCATGACCCCACTTGGTACTTCTGTGCATGACACTTATTCATCTCACCACATCTATGTTCATCCCATCCAACGAACAAATGCACCATTGCTAGGTCATTAGTTCTTTTAAAACTGTTATCTCTTATGGCACTGAAAAAAAGATATAACATCAGTGGGAGGTGCAGATAATACAATGGAAAAACAATCCAGTAGAGGTGCACACAGCTGTATTGCAAAATGCAGAAAATAAGAATATGAGAAAGAGCTCTTGCTGTATACAGTAAGCTTGTAGTCCTTGTTCCAGGACTTCTTTCACCTTTTAAAGCAGTATTAAGCCCAAAAGCAGACATTTATTATATTCCAGGTTACCAGTTATTATATGTGATGACTGCATTAGCTTTCTTCTTTTTACGCTTTATTTCTTCTATTTTCATCTGGTGATCTAGTATGTTGTTTTTTAAAAAAAAAACTAGCTGTTCTGCAGATGTACCAGTTTACAGGTATGAGACTAGCCATTTACACTGACAGGGGTGCTTACAATCATCAGCTTTTGTTTATTTATGTAAACATTTATCCTAAAAGGAAGCAAAAACTGCTGTAACTGTTTAAAAACTATTAGCTGGAGTTTGGCTTCAGTATGTTAGTATATTTAAATCCGCTAGTACATCTAACACTCCCCACCTCCCAGACTAGCAATGCTGCTATCCAAAGGTGCTCATTTATGTAGAGTGAAGGCACTCTAATACAGGAGGTGTGTTACTGGCCAGATCATTAGGTGAAAGCAGAGGGAAAAAGCTTAAAAAATAAAACTAATGCAGCCACCATTGCAGATTGGTCACTGTAAGCTGGCATCTCTCTGCATTTGTTTGTTTCCTTTCTTTGGGTTTTTATAAGTATGTTCAATGCATGGCCAGCTCTAGCCATTACAAAAGGTTTTGGCATAGTGGAGAAGACTTTGAGATATTGTTGCTGTGTGTGCCGTCACTGAGGATATTTTACATCACTTCATGTATACCTGATTTATATAAGAGCAGGAAGCAATGGGAAATTACACAATAGCAGCATTTTTATGGGATGGGTTTAGGACTCCGATTGTGTCCCCATTAAGAATATTCCACTCACTGCTTGTCATGGTGACCTCTGTCAAACTTGGATAATCTACCAGAAGAATGACATATAGTATTGGGGTTGATTTACTAAAGACAAATACTGTACAGTGCCCTTGAAATGTTCTGCATTTTGTCATGTTACAACCAAAAACGAAAATGGGATTTTATGTGATAGACCAACACAAAGTGGCACATAATTGTGAAGTGGAAGGAAAAATGATAAATGGTTTTCAAAATTTTTTACAAATAATTATCTGTATTCTTTTGTATTTAGCCCCTATTACTCTGATACCTCTAACTAAAATCTAGTTGGAACCAATTGCCTTCAAAAGTCACCTAATTAGTAAATAGAGTCCACCTGTGTGTAATTTATTCTCAGTATAAATACAGCTGTTCTGTGAAGCCCTCAGAGGTTTGTTAGAGAACATTAGTGACCAAACGGCATAATGAAGGCCAAGGAACACACCAGACAGGTCAGGGATAAAGTTGTGGATACATTTAAAGCAGGGTTAGATTATAAAAAAAACATCCCAAGCTTTGAACGTCTTACGGAGCACTGTCCAATCCTTCATCCGAAAATGGAAAGGGTATGGCACAACTGCACATTTACCAAGACATGGCCATCCACCTAAACAGACAGGCTGGGCAAGGAGAGCATTAATCAGAGAAGAAAGCCAATTTTGAAAGAGCTGTAGAGAGCCACAGCTCAGGTGGGCTAATCTGTCCACAGAACAACCATTAGTCGTGCACTCCACAAATCTGGCCTTTATGGAAGAGTGGCAAGAAAAAAGCCATGGTCGTAAAAAAGCCATAAGATGTCTTATTTGCAGTTTGTGAGAAGCCATTTGGGGGACACAGCAAACATGTGGAAGAAGGTGCTCTGGTCAGATGAGACCAAAATTGAACTTTTTTGCCTCAAGGCAAAACGCTATGTGTGGCGGAAAACTAACACTGCACATTACCCTGAATACATCATCCCCACCGTGTAACATGGTGGTGGCAGCATCATGTTGTGGGGATGCATTTCTTCAGCGGGGACAGGGAAGCTGGTCAGATTTGATGGGAAGATGAATGGAGCCTAATACAGGGCAATCTTAGAAGAAAACCTGTTAGGAGTCTTCAAAAGACTTGAGACTGGGGTGGAGGTTCACCTTTCAGTAAGACAAGGACCCTAAATAAACAAAGCCAGAGCTACAATGGAATGGTTTAGGTCAAAGCATAGTTATGTGTTAGAATGGCCCAGTCAAAGTTCAGATCTACAGTGGATATAAAAAGTCTACACACCCCTGTTAAAATTTCAGGTTTCTGTAATGTAAAAAAAAAATGAGACAAAGATAAATCATTTCAGAACGTTTTCCACCTTTAATGTGACCTATAAACTGTACAACTCAATTGAAAAACAAACTGAAATCTTTTGGAGGGGGAAGTAAAGATAACAAACTAAAATAATGTGGTTGCATAAGTGTGCACACCCTCTTATAACTGGGGATGTAGCTGTGTTCAGAATTAACTGCTTCCCCTGTGCCCTTTAGCAGAAATACTGCTACAGGGTGGCAGGGGTGCATAAAATCACGTGTATATATACGTGATTTCACATTTCTGGGTAGGGGGGAGCGTGAGCCGTGCTTGCACCCTACCGGTGCCGTCATTCGCGGCCTCGGCTGTCAATCACCGGGGCCCGGCCAGTGATTACTTGCTGGCACCCGGTGATCACCGAGTATCCAACATGGGAGAGACCTGTGTATAAACATCACAGATCTCTCCCCTGTCAGCTCCTGCCCACTGCTTTGTATGGCTCTGCATAGCAGAGCCATACAAAGCAGTGTGCTTACAGTGAAGCACACAGTTGACCCTTTGATCTCCCCACATGTTAACCCCTTTCTGCTCAGTGCCATTAGTACAGTGTTAGTGCTTTTTATTAGTATTGATCACTGTATTGGTGTCACTGGGGATGTCAGTGACACCAAATCAGTTCCCCCCCAGTGTCAGAATGTCCGCCACAGCCCCGCTGTAAGTCGCTGATCGCCACCATTACTAGTAATAAATAAATCCAGTATCTATACCCACATTTGTAAACGCTATAACTTTTACATAAACCTATTAATTTACATGTATTGGGATTTTTTTTTTAACAAAGGCATGCAGCAGAATACATTTTGGCCTAAATTTATGACGAAATTTGATTTTTTTTTAAAAAAATTTCCTGGACATGTTTAATAACAAAAAGTTAAAAATATTGTTTTTTTTTCTCAAAATTATCGGTCTTTTTTTTTGTTTATAATGCAAAAAATAAAACCCGCACAGGCAATCAAATACCACTGTAAGAAAGCTCTATTTGTGGGGGAAAAAGGACATAAATTTCATTTGGGTGCAGCGTTGCATGACCGCGCAATTGTCTGTTAAATTAATGCAGCGCCGTATCGTAAAAAATGGCCTGGTCAGGAAGGGGGGTAAATCCTCTGGAGGGCAAGTGGTTAAGCAATCACATTCAAAATCATGTTAAATAGAAGTCAGTACTCACCTGCCATCATTTAAAGTGCCTCTGATTAACCCCAGATAAAGTTCAGCTGTTCTAGTAGGTCTTTTCTGACATTTTCTTAGTCACATCCTACAGCAAAAGCCATGGTCCGCAGAGAGCTTTCAAAGCATCAGAGGGAAATCTCATTGTTAAAAGGTATCAGTCAGGAGAGGGTACAAAAGAATTTCCAAGGCATTAGATATACCATGGAACACAGTAAAGACAGTCATCATGAGAAAATATGGCACATCAGTGACATTACCAAGAACTGGACATCCCTCCAAAATGGATGAAAAGACGAGATGAAAACTGGTCTGGGAGGCTGCCAGGAGGTCTACAGCAACATTAAAGGAGCTGCAGGAACATCTGGCAAGTACTGGCTGTGTGGTACATGTGACAACAATCTTCCGTATTCTTCATACGTCTGGGCTATGGGGTAGAATGGCAGGACGGAAGCCTTTTTCTTACGTAGAATAACATCCAAGCTCGACTAAATTTAGTAAAAACACTTCTGAAATCTCCCAAAAGCATGTTGGAAAATGTGTTATGGTCTGATGAAACCAAGGTTGAACATTTTGGCCATAATTACAAAAGATATGTTTGGCGCAAAACCAACACTGCACATCACCAAAAGAACACCATACCCACAGTGAAGCATGGTGGTGGCAACATCATCCTTTGGGGCTGTTTTTCTTCATCTGGAACTGGGGCCTTAGTCAAGGTAGAGGGAATTATGAACAGTTCCAAATACCAGTCAATATTGGCACCAAACCTTCAGGCTCCTGCTAGAAAGCTGAACATGAAGAGGAACTTCATCTTTCAGCATGACAACGACCCAAAGCATACATCCAAATCAACAAAGGAATGGCTTCACCAGAAGAAGATTAAAGTTTTGGAATGGCTCAGCCAGAGCCCAGACCTGAATCTGATCGTTAATCTGTGGGGTGATCTGAAGAGGGCTGTGCACAAGAGATGCCTTTGCAATCTGACAGATTTGGAGTGTTTTTGCAAGGAAGAGTGGGCAAATATTACCAAGTCAAGATGTGCCATGCTGATAGACTCATGCCCAAAAAGACTGAGTGCTGTAATAAAATCAAAAGGTGCTTCAACAAAGTATTAGTTTAAGGGTGTGCACACTTATGCAACCATATTATTTTAGTTTTTTATTTTTACTTACACCTAAAAGATTTCAGTTTGTTGTTCAACTGAGTTGTAGAGGTTATAGGTTACATTAAAGGTGGAAAAGTTCTGAAATGATTTCTCTTTGTCTCATTTGTTTACATCTCAGAAACCTCACATTTTAACAGGGGTGTGTAGACTTTTTATATCCACTGTAAATCCAATTGAAAATCTGTGGCAGGACTTGAAAATTGCTGTTCACAGACGCTGTACATCCAATCTGACAGAGCTTGAGCTATTTTGCAAAGAAAAGTGGGCAAAAATTTCACTCTCTAGATGTGCAAAGCTGGTAGAGACATCCCCAAAAGACTTGCAGCTGTAATTGCAGCGAAAGGTGGTTCTACAAAGTACTGACTCGGGGTCTGAATACAAATGCACACCACACTTTTCAGATATTTGTTAAATATTTTGTAAACCATTAATCATTTTCCTTCCACTTCACAATTATGTGCCACTTTGTGTTGGTCTATCACTTAAAATCCCAATAAAATACATTTGTTTTTGGTTGTAACATGAGAAAATGTGGAAAATTTCAAGGGGTATGAATACTTTTTCAAGGCATTTATACTGTGCACTGCAAGTGTACCTGCAATTGCACTTCAAGTACACTGTAAGTGCAATAGCTCTAGATCTGAGGGGAAACTGCTGATTTCTACCAACAAGTACAAGCAAAAAATGCTGTTTTTTATTTTCCTTGTATGTGATTGGGTATTCTTTGCAAAGTGATGCTTTTCCTCATTTACTAAGCTCTGGAGCAAGTTCACAGTACATTTTGCCTTTAGTAAAGAAACTCCAAACACTCTTTTTGTTTAAAGCAGACCTCTTCTACATTGAAAGTTTTTTGAATAATTTATTTTTAAGTATATGAATTTTGTGTGTTTTAACTGTGTTCTCATTAAAAGTGACCTCCTATGCAGATAAACAAGGCACAAAGTATTGCAGGTTGGTAATTATTAATACATCAGTAAGCTGAACTCCAGGTATGATCTGCATTGCATACTTTGGTCCAGCTTGGAACAATGTAAGTATGCATATTTTATACCTGAGGGACTGCTGGGGAAGCGGAGAATTGCTGTAATAGTCGGCACTACTACAGTAATGGCTGCAGTCTTCATGTGGCCCCCTGTGGTCATTTTGCGGAGGACATTCGGCACAGGATCAAGATGATCACTGCTCTCACTGTAGTGCCGCTGACTACTACAGTGATTGTCAGCTTCCCTATTGGTCCCTAAGGTATAAATTACACATACTTACATTGTTCCCAGTATGCAATACAGACCATACCTGGATTTCAGTGTTACATGTGATAAATGTGTTTTTTGTTTTTTTCAAATGCAAGCAAGGTAAATCTAACATTGCAGTCTAATGTACTGTCTGTGCAGCAGAGCCCAGAGAGGGAGAAGCAATACAAGGAGCCAATCAGTGGTTTTAATGCAAGCAGAATGCTGACAGCAGGAGAGAACAGAATGACAGAGATGAGCGTCATCAGTGTGGTGCCTCTTTTTTGCTGTCCAGTCATAGGGGAGGGGACCTGTAAGTGAAAGTGCAGCAGACAAAGATAAAGTTCCTTCCCCTGCTAAACAGGGCTATGCTTTGGGACAAAGTTGTGTAAAACTCAGGACTGCATGGATCAAAATTTAATATTTTTGAATTAAAACAGCTCTCGTATAAAGAATGTATTTAGCGGTTTGCCTGACCTTCAGCTTTAATACTTTTTGTTGATGCAGAAAACAATGGTTGTCTGAAATAAAACCAGTCTGTGTTTCATACAACAGCCCCTCCACTGTTCAGGCTTCATAATGAAGGAAGAAATCTGTTTAGTTGTTATAAGCAGCTCAAACTGCTGTTAATTTAGATCTTTATTTAATGTAGGTTCTTTGCTGGTAAGTGTGATCCGAGTGTTGTTTTTTTTTTTATTTTGTGTATCCCAATTAACCAAATTTCCCTCTGTTATATTTTGTCCACAGGATCGTACAGAAGTTTTTTCTGAAGAAGAGGTAAAGGAAGTTAAAAATGAGATTATGTTCCAGGAGTGTAAAGAGGACATGGATATCCTGAAAAAAGAGGTAAAGATATTATGCATGGAGCTAAAATACATCTAACACATCAAACAAGCGCTCTAGAAAATCATTAAAGGATAGGTTCACCTTTTTGTTAAAAAAAAAAAAAAAAAAAATTTTTTTTTTTTGCAGGTAAAAAAAAAAATGTGTATTTATTTTTTTTTGTTACAGGCGCATGTAAACCATTGCACCAGTGATCAGCAGATCGCTGGTGCCATGCAGGTCTTCTGCAGACCTGTGAGTATATCTTCTTGCCCGTACAGGATGTACGGATAAGCAGATATACTGACAGGAAGAATAAATGAACTACCATGGCTCTGTGGAGCACTGTGGTAGTTCATTTATTCTTGAGAACTGAGAACTACAAGCAGACAAGTGCTAAGGCTGCCGGAACTTGTATTTTCTCATTCACGTAGGACTATTAATGAGTGACGTGGCTGGGTGGGCGGAGCCCTGCTCGGCCACTTTTTAAAAATTTGACAGCTAGTGGGAGGAAAAGATCCCCCGCAACCTGTCAAAGTGGGGGCTGGCTTATTCATAACCCTGAATATGGGGGTAACGTTTTATGAAAGGTGAATTTATCCTTTAACCACTTGCCCTTCAGGCGATTTACCCCCCTTCCTGACCAGGCCATTTTTTGTGATACGGCGCTGCGTTCCTTTAACTGACAATTGTGCGGTTATGCAACGCTGCACCCAAATGAAATTTATGTCCTTTTTTTCCACAAATGGAGATTTCTTTCAGTGGTATTTCATCACCTCTGCATTTTTTTGTGCTATAAACAAAAAAAGACTGACAATTTTGAAAAAAAAAAAAAACAATATTTTTGACTTTTTGCTATAAAACATTTCCAGTCAAAAAATTAAAAAAAAATCAAATTTCATAATAAATTTAGGCCAAAATGTATTGTGCTGCTACATGTCTTTGCTTAAAAAAAATCCCAATACATGTAAATTAATTGGTTTACGTGAACGTTATAGCGTCTACAAATGACGGTGTGTATATACTGGAATTTATTTATTTTAACACTAGAAATGGTGATAATCAGCGACTTATAGCTGGACTGCGACGGGCATTCTGACACTGGGGGGAACTGACTAACTGGCACTGACATCCCCAGTGACAATAATACAGTGATCAGTGCTAATAAAAAGCATTGACACTGTACTAATGGCACTGGGCAGGAAGGGGTTAACATCTGGGGCGATCAAAGGGTTAACTGCAGAGCAATACAAAGCAGCTGGAGCTGACAGGAGAGATCTGTATTATTTACATACAGACCTCTCCCCCATCAGTGTTCCTTGGTGGTCAATTAGTAGTGCTTATTTCATCCATCCTGCCCTGTTCTATGACTGGAACATGATCTAAGAATGGAGGATGGGTGAATGGTTGGTAGCTCCTCCATTCATAGATCATGTTTCATTCAAAAAGGCTTTGTTATGGCTTCTATGAGTGACGCAGCTAGGAGCAGAGGCCAGGTGTAGTTGGGCTCTCTTGATGAGAGCCTGTAACAGCACCTTAGATCTATTAAGCCTCCTGTACTGGAAGATTACAGAACAGAGGAGGATTTTCACTAACAGAATAGGAAGGGACACATCTCACTGACTGTTGTGACTCTTGTGCTGATATTTCTCTTAATGATTTTGGCAACATTTAGACTTTAATATGTATGCAATATATATATAATATGATTATGGTTTTTCAGCGGGAACACTGGGGAACACAGTTCCCACACCTCCAGCACTGAATGTATGTAGTAGCAAAGGGTGCTGGAGGGTCTGTTGATGCTGGCTACTGTGGGATGTATTAATGCTGGAGGGGATCTATTTTTGCGGGAGTCTATTGTTGCTGTAAAGATCTATTGTTGCTAGTGGGGGATCTATTGTTGCTAGGGATAGATCTTATGTTGCTGTGAGGGGTCTACAGTTATGGGAGGGATCAGTTGTTGCTGGCTGCTGGATGGTCTATTGATGCTGGGCGTCTGTTATTGCTGGTTGCAGGGGATCTATGTTACTGCTTTTCTTGTTATCCTTAACATATTCCATACAAATTATTTACACCACAAATGATACTTATTTTTTTATTCTCTAAATGGGTGGTACTGAGAGGTGGGTAGGGGGTAGAACCAAGGAACAGTGCTTGGAGGTGGGTAGGGGGTAGAACCAAGGAACAGTGCTTGGAGGTGGGTAGGGGGTAGAACCAAGGGACAGTGCTTGGAGGTGGGTAGGGGGGTAGAACCAAGGGACAGTGCTTGGAGGTGGGTAGGGGGTAGAACCAAGGGACAGTGCTTGGAGGTGGGTAGGGGTGGAGACAAGGGGTGACTTGGAAAGGGAGAGTTCCTGCACATATTCTGGTTATTATTATCTCTGGTTATTGATATTATATCTCCCTATTATCCTGACTTATAGTGGAGCTGTCAAACATTTTAAAGTTTTATATACACCTGTCCTACATACATAATGAGTTGTATGAATAAGTAGCATATAGGATATTAAGCTTTGTAGGTCAAAGTAAAAACTGCTCAATGTCATGAAGTACGGTCAGTATTTTCTGACCTTGGCATGAGGATCAATAGGTTTAATGCCAAGACAGATGTCTTCTAACTTTGATGTGAGGGAGTCTAATCAAGTCAAGAACTATCTAATGTTCTGGGTAAAATCTAATACAAGTACAGGGTGGCATTACTATCTGTTTTTTAGAGATAATTTAAGGTAATGCATATGGTTCTGTTCAGGTTATTAACCACTTCTAGTCCGGACACTTCTACCCCCTTCCTGTCCAGGCCAATTTTCAGCTTTCAGTGCTATCACACTTTGAATGACAATTGCGCGGTCATGCAACACTGTACCCATATGAATTTTTTAGCATTTTTTTGAGACAGATAAAGCTTTATTTTGGTGGTATTTATTCATCACTGTGATTTATATTTTTTTTGCTATGTAAATGAAATGTCCAAAAATTTTGAAAAAAAGTGTTTTTCTTTTTTGCAAATAAATAATATTTCACCATAAATCTTGGCCAAAATTTATTCCGTTATCTTTTTTAGTAAAAAAAAAAAAAAAACCCTAATTAGTTTATAACCAAAAATTATAATTTTTAAACTTTTTTTTTTACATTTTTTTTATTTTTTTTTTTTTTTTTACATACTGTCACCCTAGCAGTACAGTGTCACCATGGTGACACTGTACTACTTGTGGGGGGTGATGAAGATTTTTTTTTTTTTACACTGATTGCTTTTACACCCATAAAGGCTGTAAAAGCAATCATTTCTCCTTCTCTCTAGCTGCATTCTTGCAGCCATTGAGAACTGTGATTGGTCACAGCTTATCACATGGTACAAGGCTGTTGTGAATAGCTTTGTACCATGTGAACTCTGATCATTCACAGATTTAAAACGTAGTAAGCAATGATGTCAGAAGTGACATCTTGCTTACTACTCTGCATGTGATCACTGATTGGCCAATCAGTGATCACATGATCAGGACCTCGCACAGAGGTCCCGTCCGACAATCGTTTTTCCACTGTGTCCGGAGGACACAGCGGGCACCGGATCGCAGTGCTGTGCGCTCCCAGCGAGCGCGCACAAGCGGTGCGGGGAGGCCGTTTATAAACGGCCACCCGACCCTGCACTGCCACCATCTGGCCGTTTATATACAACGGTCGGACGGGAAGTGGTTAATATTTCCTTTGAGCCCATATTCTTTGAACTTGCCTGAATTGCTTGCTGCTGGCTGGCCAAATAAACCTACTTCATTGGAACTCCTGACTGACGCCAATCCTTCATCTACTCTACTTCACTAACATCACGCACACCTGCTGTTTTTTTTTTTTTTTTTTTTTTTTTTTTTTTTAACAGTGTAGACTAGAAATTAAAGATCATACAAATGACTTTTCCAGACTGATTCTCTTTAGGAAATTGTTAGGTAACTTCTGTTTAAAGGCGTTTTAACTAGAACACTGTTATCAAAATGCTCATTTAGTGTTCCAGTCAGTGAAGTTCAAAATAGACTTTCCATCTTTGAAATATTTTTTATTTTAGATTGAGGAGTGTCGAAAGAAAGGGGCAATTCCACAGAACACCTGTAACCCCGTGTTCAGACGCTTTTTATACAGGATTATAAATGAGGCTCAACTTCTTGGACTAGTAAGTATTGCGCATGTATATAAGATTTATAAACTAGAGCTTCACTGGCAAGTTTAACTCTCTAACTTGCAGCTGCTTCACACAATTGTCAGCAAGGATCTATATCTTTTTTTATTAAGTAACAAAAATGACTTATATTGCGCAAGTTTTACTGAGCAGTAGAGCAGATACTGAATATCTTCATAGCAAAGAAGATCAGCTGTCTTGCTGTGCTCTTCACAACTAGGGGCAAGTTTCTAAGAACTGCAGCATAGTCATTTCAAGCCATTTAGTCAGCTTTATCCATGGTGCACCAGCTTTGTTGCAAAGTTACAGCAGTCTCCATGAACTATTTAGGAATTAGTGTCTTATTACTTCAAGTCTGGACACTTTTACCCCCTTCTGTCCAGGCCAATTTTCAGCTTTCAGTGCTATCACACTTTGAATGACAATTACGCGGTCATGCAACACTGTACCCATATGAATTTGTTAGCATTTTTTTGAACAGATGCAACTTTATTTTGGTGGTATTTATTCACCACTGGGATTTTTATTTTTTTGCTATATAAATGAAAAAGTCCAAACATTTTGAAAAAAAAGTGTTTTTCTTCTAAAAGTTTGCAAATAAATAATCCGTCTTCATAAATATTGGCCAAAATGTATTCATCTATCTTTTTAGTAAAAAAAAAACCCCAAAAAACCCAAATTAGTTTATAACCGAAAATTATTATTTTTCAAAAAATGTTTTGACATTTTTTTTTTATATTATTTTTTTTTTTTTTAAAATACTGTCACCTTAGCAGTGCAGTGTCACCATAGTGACACTGTACTACTTGTGGAGGGTGATGAGGATATTTTTTTTTTTTTTTACACTTATTTCTTTTACACCCATCAAGGCTGGAAAAGCAATCATTTCTCCTTCTCTCTGGCTGCATTCTTGCAGCCATTGAGAATTACCCTATGAGGTGTGATTGGTCACAGTTTGTCACATGGTACAAGGCTGTTGTGAATAGCCTTGTACCATGTGACCTCTGTGATCATTCACAGATTTCACAAGTAGTAAACAATGATGTCAGGAAGTGACATCTTGCTTACTACTATTCATGTGATCACTGATTGGCCAATCCCTGATCACATGATCAGGACCTCACACAAAGGTCCCGTACAGTGATCGGTGTTCCCAGGGAGCGCGCACAGTCAGGGAAGCGGGGAGGACGTTTATAAAAGGCCACCCGCCCCTGCACTGCTTTCTTCCGGCCGTTTATATACATGGGCCGAACGGGTTGTGGTTAAAGTAACCATCGCTCCCACTTGTACACTTTTATCCCACAACCTGCCACATCCTACAGAAAAAAACTTCTTCTTTGGGATCATCTTACAAGACCAGAAACACTCTCACCTCCAGTAGCTGTGCTACTGCATAGACATGGCCAGCACAAAAGATTTCCCTGAATGGTGTTCTGTGCCGCAGCTGCAGACTGCCAGTATGTATACATCTAAGGATGGCGCTTTTGAACAATACACTGTGAAAGTGTATCTATTCCTTATATATGTTATTGAATCTTAAGGTTCCACATACACAATATCTAGTTTTCAATTTAAGATTCAATAAAGCACAGCATCATGAGTGTGAGTATCTTGTTTCTTTTATGTGGCAGATATTGAATCTTGTAGTGCAATTTAATTTGCATCCCTTTGGTTGTCCACTGTTATTTATTTGTACTTAAAGCCTAAATGTAGTTAAATCTTAAAAAACAATTAGCACAATGGACAGTAGTTACAGTACTGTGCAAAAGTTATAGGCAAGTGTGAAGAAATGCTGTAAAGTGAGAAAAAACGTTCAAAAATATATATTTTAATTGTTTTTATAAATTTACAAAATGGAAAGTGGGCGAACAGAAAAAAAAATCTCAATCAAATTAATATTTAGTTTGACTACCCTTTGTCTTCAAATCAGCATCAATTCAATAAGCTCTTTTGAAGAAGCACAAAGAAATTGGCAAAGTTGAGGACCATAGACACAGTGATCGGCCAGGGAAACTTAATTCAGCAGATGAAAGGCACGTTTTTGCTCCGTTTCATTGACATTGGAAGATATTCAGCAGTGCCATCAGCACAGAACTGTCAGAAACCAGTGGGACCCAGGTACACACCCATCTACTGTCTGGAGAAGTCTGGCCAGAAGTGGTCCTCATGGAAGAACTGCAGTCAAAACGCCATACCTCCAACATGGAAACAAGGCTATGCAACACAACTATGCATGATAACTTCGGAACTGAAGTGCAGGAAAACGTCAGCAGGTGCTCTGGGCTGTTGAGTCAACATCTGAAATAGTTGGTTGTAATAGGAGGCACTTTGTTTGCTGAATGGCTGAAGAGAGTTGCAATAATGAGTGTCTCAAGGCAATAATGAAGCATGGTGGAGATTCCTTGCAGGTTTGGGGCTGCATTTCTGCAAATGGAGTTGGTGATTTAGTCAGAATCAATGGTGTACTCATTGCTGAGAAATACAGGCAGATGCTTATCCATTGTGCCATACCATCAGGGAGATGTGAGATTGGCTCCCAATTTATTCTGCAGCAAGACAATGACCCCAAACATACAGCCAATGTCATTAAGCACTATCTTCAGTGTAAAAAAGAACAAGGAGTCCTGGACATGATGGTAAGCCCCCACAGAGCCCTGAACTCAACATCGAGTCTGTCTGTGATTACATGAAGAGACAGAAGGATTTGAGGAAGCCTACATCCACAGAAGATCTCTGGTTAGTTCTCCAAGATGTTTTGAACAGCCTACCTGCCGAGTTCCTTCACAAATTGTGTGCAAGTGTACCTAGAAGAATTAATGCTGTTTTGAAGGCAAAGGGTGGTCACATCAAATATTGATTTGATTTGGATTTCTCTTATGTTCATTTAATTAATGAAATAAACTATTAACACTTCTATATCTGAAAGCATTCTCAGCTTACAGCATTTTTTCACATCTGTCTAAAACTTTTACACAGTCCAGTACATTAAATGAGATGTGCCCCTTGTGCTTGTCTTGTTAAAAATGTGCTCTATTCATAGAAGCTGTACTATAGCTTCCATCAGTGAAAGCGCTCTATGAATGGAGGACGGGTGAATGAATAAAAGGTCTGCCTTTTTCATTCATAGAGAGCTCTTCATTGTCGGAAGCTATAGTACAGCTTGTATGCATGAAGGAGGGGAGCAGAAAGGCTGAGTATAGTTCTCACTCTTGCCAAGTGCCTGTGACAGATCCAGTGTCTGTGTTAACCCCCCCCCCCCACCACCACCAGAAGATTACCACTGTTACTTTATGGAAAGGGGCAGAGGACTGAAGATTTCAACAAGACAACAAGCCACCAGCACAAGGGACTCTTCTCATTGAATGTAACTACTGTCCTTTGTGCTATTTCTTTAAAGATGTAACTAAACTTCGGCTTTTTAGTACAAATAGATAACAATGGTTTACCGAAAGGATGCAAATTAACTTGCTCTACAATATTCATTATTTGCCAAATAAAAGAAACAAGAATCTCACAATCATGATGCTGCAAGTACCATTGCTTATGCTGATGTAAAATAAAAAAAAAACTGAACTTAGACTTTACTTATTTATTCTACATAACACTGGTAAATGTATGAGACCTGTACAATTGACTTACACAGCCAGATGATTCCCAGCCTGAGGTCCATTACGATGCAGAGCTGGTGCTTACAAAGCAGATGGTTGCAGAGTTCCTGAGATTTCTTGATGATACTGACTGGAATGCTGGTCCGCTTGATGAAGCTTTGGGTGGGACGTTGGTCAGATTTAGACATCACAATGAAGAAGAATGGAGCTGGACATTTGAGGACTACATAGGAATTGATCCCTTCAGCACATTCATGGTAAGGGGTTTACAGTAATCCATTGTGTAATAATGATATTATAACTGTTTAAAGAATAAAGATAGATTTTTGAATTAAAGCAAAGCATTTTTAAAAGTGGAAGAAATTTAACACTAGGATTAAGTGCCCGTAATCGGGAAACACATCAGTTCTCCAGTCAACCCCTGTGCACTGCTTTTAAAAATGATTAAAGTGATTCTAAAGGTTTGAAGGTTTTTTACCTTCATGCATTCTATGCATGAAAATAATAAACCTTCAGTGTGCATCAGCCCACCCAGTCCCCCTTAATACTTACCTGAGCCTCATCGTGATCCAGCAAGGTGCAGGAGAAACTTGGCTCTCTGGGTTTCTCCCTTTTCATTGGCTGAGACAGCAGCAGGAGCCATTGGCTGCTTGGTTGCTTTCAACCGCAGCCAGTGAGTGGAGGCGGGCACAGTCGCGCTCTGTGTGTCTTAGACATACAGAGGTGGCTCGGGAGTGAGCACACACAAGTGCCCTCAGAGCTAGCGGCTTGTTATGGGAGCATTCAGTAGGGGGAGGGGCCAAGAGGATCGGGGGGGACCTGAGAGAGGATCAGGGCTGCTCTGTACAAAACCATTACATAGAGCAGGTAAGTATGATGTGTTTGTTATGTAAAAAAAAAAAAAAAAAACTGAACCTTAAACGCTTTAACCACTTAAGGACCTGGCTTTTTTTGTTCACAAGAAACAAATTTTTTTTTTCCTAAAAAATTACTGAGAACCCCAAACATTATTTATTTTCTTAACCTCCCTGGTGGTATTCCCGAGTGTAGCTCGGGGTGAAATTTCAGTACCAAAAGCGGTATCCCCGAGCTACACTCGGGCTTACCATGCAGCGTTGCTCAGGGATTCCCTGCAGCGCTTACCTTGTCCTTCGCTCCCGCGATGTCCCTCCTGCAGCATCCCCGGCCATCTCCTCCGGGCGATGCCGGCATCCGGCTTCCGTGTTCCGGTCCCTGTGACGTCGGGGCGTACGGGGGCCGGAACCGGCGGCAAATGTAAAAATTTTAAAAACTGTCATTTTTTTGTAAATGAATATTACATAGCAAAACATTGCTGTTTCAAAGCATTTCACATACATTTTGTCCCTAGTGCTTTGTCCTGTGCCCTGCCTGCATTTTGACTGTTCTTTCTGCCTGGAAACTTAGAAAAGTCCATGGCATCCAAAAAGCATCCTTTTAGGTCAAAAGCGGTTTTAGACCAGCTAGAGAACAGCGATAGTAAATCAGAACCACTTGCAGAATTGAGTGATAATGATTTGTGGGGAAATTCGTCATCGGACACTGAAAACGATTTTGTAACTTTGCTCAGCGATGTTCAAACTTGGCGCTATGTTTAAAATTTCAGTATTTTTGGTTTGATTATATTATTGAATTAAATTTATTATATTATTATTTTTTTATGATTATTAAATTATAATTTATGATTTCGTGTTTCCAGTTTTATCATATCCGGAATGTTTACTAGACTCTTGTTCGGACAGATTTCAGTGAGTTATTCCTAAAAATTACAGGCCTACAATAAAAAAAAACTACATATTTCCATGCAAATTAATGGTACTGCTTTCAGCACCAAAAATCTGAAATAATCAGACCGCTAGGGAGGATAAAATAGAGGCCCTATAGAATAAATTTGTAGATTTTACAATTTTTTATGTCACATAGTATTTACGCAGCCCAAAAAATACAGTTGGTCACGGTGCTGTCCAATCAAAAGCTGCCTACCCGGTACCGTCATCCCTGCAAAGAGAGGAGAGAAAGCAGCAGGAAATTCAAATCCCCAAAGAAGCGTCTTTCTCTCCTCTCAGTGCAGGGATGACAGTGCGGGCTAGACTGCTTCTGATTGGTCAGCACCATGATGGACAGCACCTGCACTGAGAGGAGACAAAGCTGCAGGGATTTCAATCCCCAGCTTTTCCTTCTGTGACAGCATGAGATCGGTGCAGGGAGGTTTCCTAACAAGCCTGGGTTCAAACAGGAGCAGTGGGGAAATCTAATACGATTTGGACTGGAATCGCACCACATTCCTTTTTGAATCCCATGCTATTCTTTGCAGTGCAATTTGTGTCCATACATTTCGTATAGAAGCAAATTGCACTGCATAATATCGGTACTCGGTTTCGACGAGTACTTGATCAAAAGTATCGGTACTCACAATCAAAAAAGGGTATTGGTTCATCCCTAATTTTTTTTAATGTATGAGAGATTGTTGTGTTGAAATAATAAAACTAAAATACCCATCTGTTTCAGATTTGAGTTGTCATCAGGATTTTTTTGGACATTTCCCTTAGGCCAGCAGCATAAGATCCGTAAAGATCTGAACCACACTGGCTCTCTTAGAGAGTGGATACATATTATTTTTTTGTCGCTGCTAATATTTTTTTTCCTCAGATTTTCACACAATGCTGTTTTAGTATCATGTCTCTAGGAAGTTTAGGATTTTGTAATCTGACCAACCTGCGTGGTTGCGGTGGATTTCATTCTTGTTTTTCAATGTACGGTAGTAGTCTTAAAGATGTACCCTCCAGCCACTGTCACTGCAGAGACACACTAGTGAGGAAGTTTCCAGTAGCCAGTGTAGCTTTGCAAGAGGGCAGAGATTGCCATTGCTGATGGTAGTACTGGTAAGTAGTATTACTTTTCATTTAAAGGCTACCTTTTTGTTTAGTTTTATTTTCTAGTGACAGGATCACTTTAGTGACCAGGAAATTGTATAAAAAATGAATCCGTAAATTTACTCCTAACATTTTGTTCGATATTACACAGTTATCCTGTGTGGTAGGATATTTGCTTGGTAATGGTATAGTACATACTGAACGTATCAAATTGATTATACTTCGAACCTGCCATAGTACTTGTATTATTTTAATTTTGAATGTACTCTTTTGCAGATTTCCTTAAGTCTACTTTGTATTGTGATGGTAGTAGCCACAGAACTATGGACTCGTGTCAGCTGGTTTACACAGATAAAGAGACTGCTCGTTCTGTGTTTTGTGGTTAGCCTTGGCTGGAACTGGCTGTATTTGTACAGGGTAAGCTTTTAAAGGTGATCTTCAGAAAGGTGAATACTGGGAGTGACAGGGCAGTATGTACAGGATAACAGTGCAGAGGGCATCATTGTGGGTAGTATATACTGGAGAATGCAGAGGGTATAGTGGCGGGCATTCTGTACAGGAGAGGAATGCGGAGAGTATGCCAGTGGATATTATGTGCAGGCAAGAAGTGCGGAAAGTATGACAGGGACATTATGTGTAGGAGAGGACTGTGTAAGGTATGATGGTAGGCAATATGTGCAGACAAGGAGTGCATAGTGTACAACAAGTAGAGGAGTGGAGAGTATATGATGGTATTAGCAGGAGACAAATGTGTAGGGTATGATGGTCAGCATGTGCAGGAGGAGTGTGGATGGTATGATATGACTAGTATGGGTATAGGAAGGGAGTGCGGAAAAATGCAGACAGTGTACACAGAAATATATAAATGGGGTATGTAGCGCTAGAGAATGAATATCAAGCAAAGAGAGTGTCACCATATATAGTAACAATAATATTTGATATAAATAGTTCATATAATGATTCAGGAGAGAAGATGGATACGATCCTATGATGTTCCAAATCCAACTTGATAGAGTGGAAAAAATAGTGCGGTTATGCGCTTACCGCAAATACATACAATATGGGCATGTATGTAAATCATCAGCAACAGGGCATCATGGTCTGGTCAACAGCATGAGCAGCATCTGGTCACATCAGGACATCAGGGTCAGCAGGTCCAACGTTGTCCAGGCATCCAATGGCTCTTTATTCCAGATCACCACCTTGCAAAGCTAATTAAAAAAACGAGCCGGGAGGCAAGAAGGTACTAATGGTGAAGTACGTTTATTCAGAGTATTATAAGCAAACAAAAGGAAGGAACTCACATCAGCATAAAAGGATACATCCAGGTCTAATTCATAGGTTCCCTGGTGGCTAGTGGTTCCATCAGCAAAAAAAGACACACACATCCAGGTCTAATTTATAGGTCCCTGGTGGCTAGTGGTTCCATCAGCATAAAAAGCACACACATCCAGATTTTCATATGAAACACCCATCCAGGTCTATTAAAAAGATTCCCTGGTGGTAAAGGCGTCAGTTGGGTGGATCCCCTAACATGTTTCGAGCGAACGATACATTTATGCTTAGTGTACACAGAAGGTGTGGGAGGACAGGTTAGCATAGGATAATTTTTTTATTTTGTTTATTGTGGTTATAGGTTCTCTTTAACCACTTGCCCTCCTGAGGATTTACCCCACTTCCTGACCATTTTTTGCATTACGGCGCTGTTACTTTAACTGACAATTGTGCGTTCATGCAACTCCGCACCCAAATGAAATTTACATAATTTTTTTCCCACGAATTGAGCTTTCAGTAGTATTTGATCCTGTGCGCTTTTATTTTTTGGGCTATAAAAAAAAGCGACAATTTTGAGGAAAAAAAAAAAATTTTTGACTTTTGGCTATTAAACATGTCCAGTAAAAATCAAATTTCGTCATAAATTTACACCAAATGCATTTTGCTACATGTCTTTGCTAAAAACAAATCCCAATACGTGTAAATCAATTGTTTTACGTGAAAGTTATAGCGTTTGCAAATGGCGGTATATATACTGGGATTTTTGTTTTTCTTCATTTTTACTAGTAATGGCAACGATCAACGACTTATAGTGGGACTGCGGCGGACATTTTGACACTGGGGGGGGGGGACAGGCTTGGTGTCACTGACATTCCCAGTGACACCAATACAGTGATCAGGGCTAAAACAAAAAGCACCCACACTGTACTAATGACACTGGGCAGGAAGGGGTTAACATGAGGGGGTGAACAAAGGGTTAACTGTGTGCAGGGAGTGTATTACTAGGGGGTGGGATGTGTGTGATTCACTGTAATCACACTGCTGTGGATGGCTGCGCTGTGCATAGCCATCCACAGCAGTGGTCCCGAACTGACAGAGAGGAAGACTGTTGGTAAACAAAACAGTCCTCCTCCCCATCTGTGATCCTTGGAAATCACCGGGCGTCAGCGAGTAATTACCAGCCGGGACCCAGTGATTGACGGCTGCGAATGGCAGCACGGGTAGGGCGGGGTGTTCAACTCACGCATGCCCCCACCCGGAAATGCTAAATCACGTATATATATACAGTCATGGCCGAAATTGTTGGCACCCTTGATATTTCTCCAGGAAATCATGTATTTCTCACGAAACGTATTGCATTAAACACATGTTTTGCTATACACATGTTTATTCCCTTTGTGTGTATTGGGACAAAACAAAAAAAGGGAGGAAAGAAAGCAAATTCGACATAATGTCACACAAACCTCCAAAAATGGGCTGGACAAAAGTATTGGCACCCTTTCACAACTGCGGATAAATAAGAATGTTCAAGCATGTGATGCTCCTGTAAACTCACCTGGGGCAAGTAACAGGTGTGGGCAATATAGAAATCACACCTGAAAGCAGATAAAAAGGAGAGACGTTCACTTAACCTTTGCATTGTGTGTCTGTCTGTGCCACACTAAGCATGGACAACAGAAAGAGGAGACGAGAACTGTCTGAGGACCTGAGAACCAAAATTGTGGCAAAATATCAACAATCTCAAGGTTACAAGTCCATCTCCAGAGAGAACTAGATTTGCCTTTGTCCACAGTGCGCAACATTATCAAGAAGTTTGCAACCCATGGCACTGTAGCTAATCTCCCTGGTCGTGGACGGATGAGGAAAATTGATGAAAGATTGCAACGCAGAATAGTCCGGATGGTGGATAAGCAGCCCCAAACATGTTCCAAAGACATTCAAGCTGTCCTGCAGGCTCAGGGAGCATCAGTGTCAGCGCGAACTATCCGTCGACATTTAAATGAAATGAAACGCTATGGCAGGAGACCCAGGAGGACCCCACTGCTGACACAGAGACATAAAAAAGCAAGACTACAGTTTGCCAAAATGTACTTGAGTAAGCCAAAAGCCTTCTGGGAAAACGTCTTGTGGACAGATGAGACCAAGATAGAGCTTTTCGGTAAAGCACATCATTCTACTGTTTACCGAAAACGGAATGAGGCCTACAAAGAACAAAACACAGTACCTACGGTAAAATATGGTGGAGGTTCAATGATGTTTTGGGGTTGTTTTGCTGCCTCTGGCACTGGGTGCCTTGACTGTGTGCAAGGCATCATGAAATCTGAGGATTACCAAAGGATTTTGGGTCGCACTGTAGGGCCCAGTGTCAGAAAGCTGGGTTTGCGTCCAAGATCCTGGGTCTTCCAGCAGGACAATGACCCCAAACATACGTCAAAAAGCACTCAGAAATGGATGGCAAAGAAGCGCTGGAGAGTTCTGAAGTGGCCAGCAATGAGCCCAGATCTAAATCCCATTGAACACCTGTGGAGAGATCTTAAAATTGCTGTTGGGAAAAGGTGTCCTTCCAATAAGAGAGACCTGGAGCTGTTTGCAAAGGAAGAGTGGTCCAAAATTCCGGGTGAGAGGTGTCAGAAGCTTATTGATGGTTATAGGAAGCGACTGATTTCAGTTATGTTTTCCAAAGGGTGTGCAACCAAATATTAAGTTAAGGGTGCCAATACTTTTGTCCAGCCCATTTTTGGGGTTTTGTGTGACATTATGTCATATTTGCTTTTCTGCCTCTGTTTTATATTTGTTCCAATACATACAAAGGGAATAAACATGTGTATAGCAAAAACATGTGTTAATGCAATACCTTTTTTGTGTGAAATACTTGATTTTCAGGAAAAATATCAAGGGTGCCAACAATTTCGGCCATGACTGTATATATATATATATATATATATATATATATATATATATATATATACACACCCTAAATAATTGATGTAAATAACAGTCAGCATAATTCTCATGTTATCAACTATTAAGAGTACAATTCAAATTTTATTGAACAAACCTCCTAATGATAACAGTATTTTTTTTTTAAACATAAAAAACTTACAATGCACTGTTCCAAATGATTACACACAGTAAGTTTCAAAACACTTTTTATAGGTTGTAAAGAACTGAAAATTGTTGTGTTTGCAGCATATTTATTGAAATCAAAAGCTATTTCAATCAAACTTTTAACAACATTTTTAATTTTTTATACATTTTAACAGGTCACGTTACATTTTAACATAGGACCCCTTATTTGATAGCAGCTTCACAAGTCTTGCATCCATTGAACTTGTGAGTTTTTGGACAGTTTCTGCTTGAATTTGTTTGCAAGATGTCAGAATAGCCTCCCCGAGCTGCTGTTTGAATGTAAACTGCCTCCCACCCTCATAGATCTTTTGCTTGAGGATGCTCCAAAGGTTCTCAATAGGATTGAGGTCAGGGGAGGATGGAGGCCACACCATGACTTTCTCTCCTTTTATCCCCATAGCAGCCATTGATAGCATAGTATATATATATATATATATATATATATATATATATACAGTATAAATGTGTGTGTGTGTGTGATTTTGCGCAACACCTCAACACTGAAAGAAACATTTTTAGTCTCTCTGCTCACCACAGAACTCATTTTCATCTTTTGCAGTATCTTAAGCACACACCAGCCCCCACCACATGCTGCAGACTGACAACCAAAATCTATTGTGCCACATGCTCTTCCCTATCTCTTACCACCTTGTGCTGCAAAGTTGGATTATGAAATAACAAATTCAGCGCTCAGTGATAATAATTAGCTGCTTGCAAAAAGTGTATACACAAAAACACCAAAATGATACAATAATAATAGTTTGCAGCGCTTAAAAAAATATATATATGTATATATATATATATATATATATATATATATATATATATATATAAAAATTAAAATATAAATGAAAATAAACCACAACACCTGTGACAATAAGTGAATCAAAAGGAGTAAACAGTTCAAATATTATCACAATTCAAGGACAATCTTCTCCTTCTGTGATTTATCTTCATATGTTGGCATTAGTGATGCTTGACTTCCACCTTAGTTTAAATGCACCCTCACCAGATCCAACTGCTGTCTAAATAAATAGAACAGCAAATGCACTTTTGTAGACAATGAAGCTCTTCTCCAAGAAAAAATACTCCAAGTGAACCAATAGCTCTTCAAACACTCTCTTAGCCCGTGGGACTCACAGAAAACCATCGACAATAGAAAAAGTCTTATAGTGTAGTGTACTACACTCTCAACTCAAATCCACTGAGCAGAACTCCAAGCTGTACAAACTTGAATGCTTTTTGGATTTAAGCATATCAGGTGATGTGTATTTGTGTTATGAGTGAGGGTGCGGCCTAAAGAGATCAACACTCTATATCAACGTCTGCATACTTATTAGGTAGCTTCTTTTCCTGTGGCAAAATGGGCCAAAAACGAGATTTAACTGACTGAAATGTCAAAAATTGTAAAAAGAAGTCTTTCAGAAGAATGCAGTACTCTTGAAATTGCTAATAAATTGGGACGTGATCACAGAACCATCAAATGTTTTGTTGCAAATAGTCAACAGGGTCGAAAGAAAAAAAAGATACAAATTAACTGCCAAAGATTTGAGAAAGAGATAAAACATTGGCACATATTAAAATCTGAATTTTTGGCTATATAAAATTGCCCAAAATCTCCCTTAACATATGGGGGTATTGGGGTATATGAAAAGGGGGGAGGAAAGCCACACTGTCCTCACTGTAAAAGTGATTGGGTTACTATACAGCCACCTGGATTACTTTTTACATGGCAGTGGGGAGCTGGCTAAATAAAATAAATGCACGTTCATGGCTGAAGATATTAAAGAGACATCAGGGGGTGCTTGATCAGTTCCTTCCCTGGTCACAGCAGCTGGGGAATGACTGCTCTGAACCTGGAAGTGACACAATACATGTCACCTCATGCTCATTCAGCAGAGGGGAGACCAACAAATCTGCTAAGTTGAATGCTTCTTAAGCTCTCTGGCCATTGGCTCTTCACAAGGAGGGTGAGCAAATGAGGAAAGGTCTGTTTTCTTTGTAATCTATTATAAATAAACTAGGATGGGCTGACAACACGTGCTTGGGAATTAAGAACTGTGTTGTAATTTCAAAAAGGAATGTAGGAGCATTCTATAGTTCTGGCACATAAACAGTTTTACTTCTGTGTATTTACAAGATGCTTAAAGAGGAACTTCACTCATTTTTTAAACTGTATTTAAATGTACTCCTACCCCCTCCCCTTTCTGCAATTATCAACAAAAAAAGTTTTTATAGGGGGCAATTATTTTTTTTGTGGAGCGCTTCTGTATTTATGGCCTAAGCCAGAATGATGTTCTTCTCTGCCTGAAGCCTCCTGAGATACCTACATCCAAGGAGGCTTCCAAGCTGTGTAGAAACCACTGTGCATGCACAGTGAGCGCCATCAGGAGGCCAGCTGCTAGGACCTAGAAGAGACAACCTGTATCCTGCTGATACCACAAAGAAATTGGTGGCAAGGAGTGTGGTGGCTTTCAGTGAATCACACCCAGACTGCGCTGGATTCACTGGCTGGGTGAGTTTGCTATTTAACTTGCCATACCAGGTAAGGTATGGTAAGCTCAAATTACCATACCAGGTAAGAAGCAGTTAACTTTACAATTAACCCCAGGGATTTAAAGGGATAAAACATGGGGAAATGTGAATGTATGCATACAACAGGTCTAATGCTAAAGAAACTAGTCAGTTCTAATAGATATTCCCAGCCACCAATCATCTACTTTGAAAATTTGAATGTGACTGTTGATTCAAGGAGTAGAAAGGTAACAAGTTTTAGGAAGTACAATTATACTGCCTCCTGACCCTGTGTATTGGACTGTGTGTGCTTTGAATGTAGTGCATTACATGGTGTTGAATTAAGTGAACTGTCTGTATTTAGCCTAACTGCATTGGGCTGATTGATTTCACTTGTTGAATGCAATTGCTGTTTTATTTACGATTATTATCCAAAGCTCAGTTGTAGACACTTTCTGGATTAACACCAAATTAACTTACAAAATTGTCTGTTATTCAACTTTAATATCAGTTGTTGGGTATTTAATTGAATTTGGCATGCAAATATTTTTGTGTTGATTTTCTATAAATACTCATATATTTCTTTTTATTAGGATGCCTTTGCTGAACGGCAGGCGAAATTAATAAAAATAGAAAATGATCACTCCTGTGGCAAGCAGATGACTTGGTCAGAAAAATTTGCTTGGTAAGATAACTGACTTTCTTTTGAATGGTAGATTTTACATTCTTATTTAAATACCTTTTCATGTCTATAGCCAATGTACTGTATTATTTCTTTTCAATGCAGTTCCACGTGTACATAATGTATATAGTAAAGGCTGCCATTGATATTAGATGTCAAGTCCTCCCAGTTTGGGTGAGACAATCTAATACCAATTGGGCATTTGCTGATGCTGCCAGCAGAGGTTTGTTCAGGGGAGAAGCAAACAGACAGGTTGAGAAATCTTGTCCAAATTACTATTGTTTTCCCCTTGATAATACTAGCTATATTTGGCTTGAGTTTTGGATGATTCCTGCTGAATCAGCTGAAATTCAAGGTGTGGATGGCCCTCTTTGCTACACCTGGCTTTTTTAGATGTTTCAATTGAAGTTTGTTGAGCTGGGTGGAGTCAAACAGTGACTGAATCCAATCAAATGCATTCCCTTTTTGGGTGCTTGGTCAGCTTCTAGTTTTGTGGCTGTCTGAATATAACAACCTGCAGTGCACAGTCCGCCACCCATGCTGTTTACTGTGGATAGGGGAAACCAATTTCTCTTGTTTAGCTTGCAGGGCTGAAAGCGAAAAATTAACAAGTGTATGGCTAGCATCAGCCAGTGCCAAAAGGTGCAACAGCAAGCCTAATCTGCACCACTCCATATGCTGCATTTTAACAGTTGTACAGGGTGACCATTTATTTTAAAGGTAGTGCTAGGTATAGGTAGATGCCTAAACGTGGTCAGATTATGCCTGTGTATCTAATGTCAATGGTGGCCTTAACAAATAGACTTGTCCCTTGAACCTTAACCTATAGCTGAAAAGTTTTATCAGGATTAACCTTTGAAAATTCTCTTGTGTTTCCCTACTTTGTTACACTGTCTATTCTGTTATTTTTATTTAAAATGCTTTTGATCTTTTGAAGAGTGGTGGAAAAGTTCATCATCTTTCCAGAATGATCCATGTGAGGAATATTTTAAAGCTTTAATGGTAAACCCAATACTTCTGGTCCCACCAACCAAAGTAAGCTTTGATTTTTGCTGTTCTATGACTTAACTTAGTTGTTATAATTCCAGACTAAGGGCATATTGAGACATGCTCTGGCACTCTTTCTGCATGCATGATCATATTTTTTTTGTGTTTACATCTGCCCTGAACTGCAACCTATGGAAGTGGATGCAGACGCAGTGACTGCATGTGCACAGTTTCATGTTAAAATTTGATAGGCATGCAAGAGAGGGTGCATGGACCCAAATGCATACTGACTGCGCAGGAGGAGTGCCAGGGACTTAATGAAAAAGCTCTAAATATTAAAATTCTTGGATAAACAAATTTACTAAATGTACACTAATGAATGGATACTTCAGATGGGTTCTTCTGTACTCTATAGTCGGCGTGAATATAGCTTGTATAATGGATTTAAAACCACAATCCTCTTGTTACATATGTAAATAATGACTCAACTCTGCACCCCAAAATACAGAAATCTAGTGCCATAGTGGTCAGCAGAGGTTCTGGCATTGTAATTACCATTTTTGATAGAGAGGGTAGGCCTTGGTACAGGGCCTGGAAAAGGGGTAGGTAGAATTAGTGACTACCTTGGGCACTTCAGCGGGATTGGGGTGCAAAAAGGCAGAGCCTGCAAAATTTCCTGCTGAAGTAGTTCACACCATATGGGATGGGAGGGGGACACATTGGCCTTTTTGTCTTGGATGGTAAAGACCTTATATAAAGAATGCTCCATTAATCTAGGGTCTCTCTAGATCAGTGATGGCAAACCTTTTAGAGACCGAGTGCCCAAACTGCAACCCAAAACCCACTTATTAATATCAGTGTCAACACTGCAATTAAACCTGAGTACTGAGGTTTTAGTTTAGAAAAAAAAAAACCCATACATTAACATCTTTTGTCCTAAAAGAAAAACACAATAACAGAGCTTCCACTGACCACCAGCACAAGGGGGCAAGTTTCACAACCAGCTAATGAATCGTGGCTCATGATGTCATCGCCTGGCATCGCTACTCCTTTTCGAGCATGCGCATGGCCCCTATGTGCACTGGGGCTACTTGGCTCACATGCTGACAGAGAGGGCTCTGCGTGTCCACTGTGGCTGGCGTGCCTTAGGTTTGCCACCACTGCCCTAGATGCACAATAATTGGCATCAGTAAAAAGGCACTGGCTCCTTACAATACTCATGCTTTCTGGGATACAGCCAGGATGCCATGATAATTGTTTTTCACTTTTTGTATTTATTCCTAACAGTAGTCTGATTATCTAAATAACTAAAATAGTGTAAAGAGCAATCATCTACAACCAGTCTCAGTGTGAACCTTACTGAAACAGTGCTAATGGTCCTAAATCACACATTATTGGCAGAATTGTTTTAAGGACAACAAAATGCAAATGCATTTATTAAAATGGGAAAACTTACTGTACATTTTTAAAAACCCAAGACAACTTTGATAGATAAAATATCTTTACAGTGTACATGTGGTTATGTTGAGAGAAGACATGTGTTGCGCACCTCCTGCAGCATTTTTTCTGACAAAACATGGAAAATTTACTGACGGAGCCTTTTTTTTTTGTAAATTTTGCAAAAAATTATATTTATAATTATCAGCCCCTAATATTTACAGACAGTTGAAAAAATCACTGATTTTTACAAACTGTCTGTAAAATTACTAATGATTGGCATTCCCGGAGAAGGTAAATTATGTACATTGTAAGGATTGTAATAAACCTTTTTGTAAATTTGTACCTTTGTATTGAGCTTTATTTTTTGACTAAGTGGGTTTGGCAGCCATTCTAATATCCACTTGAGAAATCTCAGTTATAATAGGAAATGTTCCAGTGTCTTTGTTGCATGTTTTAACTTTAGATTCTGTGCAGTGATTTCTAAAAAAAAAGTAGTCAATTAATATTTAAATACCTTTAGTAGACAAAAATATTTTTCTTTACAAAGTACAATAGAAGATCCCTAACTACTTTCCTATCAGAGCCAGGCATGTATAATATTACAGCAATCAAATTATATCTAGAATAACTTGAAGGAAAAATTCAAAAAGCAAAATTTAGAGCCAATCCTTCCATTATTCTGTTACACAAAACCAGCAGTGAAAATTGCGTGTAGGGTGCTTAAAGAAGACTTCCAGATATAGCTATTTGGTTCAAGCTGGAACAATGTAACTATGTAGCAATGCTTATACCATATCTGTGGGATCCCTCTGAAGCTGGAAATCAGCACAGGCACCACTGCTACTACAGTACTCTCCAATAGCATCCAGGTTCAATGCTGAGCATGACTTGCTGCATTGTAAACACAGGCAGATACCTGCTCGGCACAGGCGCCATTTAGAGATTGCTTTGTATTCTATCATCTATCAGTGAATGCAAAGCGTTCTCTCATTGGATGAGGTGGAGAGGCAGGGCATTGATGTCATGCTCTCCATCTCGTCCAATCGGGGAATGGTTTGCAGAAAATGGAAATCATTCTCTGAATGGCACCTGTACCAAGCAGGCAACTTCCTGTGTTTAACAATGCAGCAGGGCGTGCTCGGCATAGGCCCCAGAAGCTAGTGAAGATCACTGTAGGAGCAGGGTCTACTACAGTGATTTGCAGCTCCTGGAGGGATCCCACAGCAATGGTATCTGCATAGTTACATTGGTCCAAGCTGGACCAATGTAACTATGTAAAAATATCCATACATGGAATTTGTCTTTTAAATTATATAGGAACCCTCACCTTGTAAAACAACCCATTCAGTTTAAAATAGAAATGAAAGGCAAAACATTTGTGCATACATATAAAAACATTATAAATACCTTTTTCCCCCTTTTTTTTTTTTTTTATAAATGATCACATACCCTCTATTCTTAGCTGCATAAGGAGCTCAGAGAGCTAGGGGAGGAGAAGCAGAAGTACATTGATCTTCCCAGTGAATGCCTGTGAAGGGAGCATGTCAGCAGAAGTCTAATCATTGTAGGAGAGCAAGCTGAGTTCTCAGCACAACTAGAAAGCTGACCATGCTGTGCTGTCATGCCTAGTGTAGTCAGTTTTTATTAGTAAAGCAGAGGGACTGGCAGGAACACCAGGTATTTCACACAAAAGAAGCAATACAAAGAGAACAGGATACTGTGTCATACAAGTACATGGTACATCAGGCACATATCAGGAATTTGAAATGTTGGGTTTACATACTGTTTTAGTAAACATATTTGTTTTTCAAACTATATAGACTATTTCTCCTGGGATAGGGGTAGATAGGAATGTCTCTTCTAAAGGCACTGCAAGGCAACACTAGGCCTTGTAATCTTTCATCCAGTGGTTGGATTCCTTCTCTAGTTCTGTTAGGAAATTATGTCACCTCCCAAGTACCTGCGTCCAACTAATATTTGTGCTGAAAACATTGTAAGTGTTTCAGATCACCACTATCCATTGCTCCGTACTGGAAAATGATTTGATTAGTAAAGTTGCCAGTAGCCATTGCTCTGTAACACACTGCCATATATATCTTACCCAAAACAAATGTCTAAATATTTTTCTCAGTTTCTTGAAAATATTAATTCAACCATCAGGGTAAAGCTGACCTCCAGGCAGATATAAAATGACCTGTTGTATAATCATTAAACAATAATGACATTTATTTATAAGTGCAATTAATGTATCTGAATATGTCTTGATTTCAGCCTTTTGAAATCCCCCTGTACAGTATAACCGAGAGAGAGAGGGGTAGCACTAGTAGCCAATGAGGTGTGCTACTTGTGAATTGACTGACAAAAAATTGCTAACAGGAGAAAGAGCATCCTTCTGAGCTAATCAGGCTGCTGCTACTTCTGCAGTATCCAATAACAGCCTGGGAACAAGAAGGTGACATAGATTTTTTTTTTTTTTTTTTTTTTTGCTTAAGCTGGCCATACACTGATTATAATGGAGCCAGTTCAGCAGGGACCAGCCAAATTTCAATGTGTGTCCACCCCCACTGGACAGAAGTCAAAGGGACATGCTGAAAATACTATCTTGATCAGTGGCTGCAGCCGCTGTTTTCATAATACAAAGTCTACTGTATAAAGAAAGAACTGTGAATTGAGACACCATCTTTTACCTACCAAATCATTTATAGAAAAATTGTAAAAAAAAAAGGGGGTTTTTATATGCAAATATATCCAGAATATACAAAAACCTGTAAGCAGGGGTATCTGTTTCCTGAATGGGTTCAGCACAATTATGCATGTAACACATGGTGGAACAGAGTATAGTCCCACTAATAAAAATTGCATTTGGTCCAAAACTTTGCCTGGGCGGCACTTGTGCTTTTTGGAATTGACGCAGTGACTGTACTTGAAACTGGTAGCTGGATCGGACATGTTTTGAGTGGTAGATAAGATGATCATGTCCATAAGTACAGAGTGCCAGTACACCTGAGTACAATGTTCAATCAGAAAGTTGACTGAACCATTGTAATGTTCACATGCTGCTCCAACATGGGCACAACTACCGCCACTGTGTCTCCTAAACTGAGCCCCCAGCTGTATGTATCAGTCCATGAAAACTGGGCAAAAGTGGAGCACAATACTGATTGAACAGGCCTGGCAATGCTTCATTCTAGACATCTGTGGTCTCATCTTAGGCTTGCCCGATAAGTAAAGTGAGGTCTCCTTTCTGCCACTCTTCTAGAACCAATACTGCTGTCAAATGCTTGTCTGCTTTTTCAGAGCTGTGGGATCCCGTGGCTGCAAGTATGAACTGGTATGCATCCCCATCTGACAGGGACTACAGAGGTGGGGGGGGTGACGTGCTCTGTTAACGTCAACACGCTTTGTCCCACATTCATAGGGCTTTTTCAGAATGCAAAAGGGAGCTGTTGGTATTGGACTATATCTTCTATCTTCACACTCACTGATGCATAGTAACCATCAAAGTAAATAACAGTTATACAGTGTACAAAAAGAAACGTGATCTTAGAAAACTTTAACGAAAACTTCACACTTGTGGGAAAACCCCTGTATGTCGCCAAGATATATGAAACACAGTCAATTGAATCATGAAGCCAACATCAATATACAGATTTTCTAATAAATGATTCGGTAGGTAGACCTTGGTGTCTGAATTTGCAGTTCTTATTTTATATAGTACCAATTTATTTTTGTGGTCATATACTTTTGGTTAGGGCACCAAATTCATCTAACATGGATTCCCCCAACCAACTGTGCCTATTAGGCTTCCAAAATACAATGTTCCACCTCAATTTGTATGAACGGTGGAATCTAGCCGGCTAGAAACAACTAACAATCTAAGGCTGGCCCCAAACTTGCTCCCTCATGTCTTGATGGACCTTGCTGTGTGTGTATGTATGTATGTGTGTGTGTGTGTGTGTGTGTGTGTGTGTGTATGTATGTATATATATATATATATATATACATATAAAACCATTAATGTTTGCAACATAAAACCATTAAGAAAAAAAAAAAATGATGAAAACATCGCCTTATATGGCGTGGCACAGATGATCAGTCCCAAGCGCATTATCGCCCTGGTACTAGACTCAACTATTACAAGTTTTGGCTGTGATATACTGGTGTGTAAGGAAATGACCAATCACCCTTGAAAGCAACATTACCTTTGAAGTACTTTATCAGTTTGTAATGACATTCCTTTTATATGAAGTCAACTAAGGTAACCAGGCTTAGAATTTCAACTCTTGGATATTGTGAAACAATTTTAATAAGAGATTATGAACTTTCCCCATCACTTCCTCACTTAATGCAGAGTTTTTCAACTTCCATTTTGAACACACTTTCCCAGTTTTATTTAACTAGTCACCAGACTGTTTAAAGTACTTCAACATTCCCTGAAGAGGAGAGGGCTATGACCTGCAAGGCAGGAGGGGACTGTGCTAGGGAATTGAGTCATTAAATTTTCTAGCAAGTTCAAAGTACCTTTTGCAAGTGAATAAACACTTGCGAAAAGGGGAATCACTGTAGGTAAGCATTTAAAATACTTGATTTTTCTTCCCTTTTACCTGCAATTTTTTTAAATTGGTAGTAAATGTTTGCATACGCCCACTGAAATAACTAGAATCAGATGATAAACAATGAGAATACAAATCCTCCCTTATAACCTGTACCCCTTTAGTGGCAGCACTTTTTTCTTCAGAGCCCTCTAGAGTACACAGATGAAATGGTATTTCACAGTTTCCAGAGGGCATGACTTTGGCAGTCATCCATTCCATAGCACAGAGTAGAGAGCTGAGCAGAATCTGAAACCTGAGTGGAGAGAATGTACTGTGAGGCTGCCAATGACCTGCTGTGTGCTAAGGTGGTGGGGGAGCATCACTATGGATTGCCTGGTGTCAAAGAAAACTTCCAGAAATAACACATGCAAACTTTAGAGTAAGGAGAAAGTGACCAGAATCCACATTATGTGCTATAACTTGAGGTACATACATTTTATATGATATAGTATATACTATATATTATAGGATATTATTTGTTCATTTTACATTTCAACAGTTTACAGACACTTTAAATCTAATTATTAAAAGACTACCCTTGCAGTGGCCTATGAAACATTCGTGTAGGATAGATATTACCCATAGCAGACACTGTAGACTCATCTTGGTATGTATTTAAATTTAAAACAGGAAAATATGTTGGACTTGTTGATTTTTTTTTTTGTTTATCGTTTGTTTGCAGGCTTTTGCTGTCACTTTCACCAACTTCATAACAGAACCTTTAAAGCATATAGGTAAAGGGATTGGAGAGTTCTTTCATGCTTTGTTAGCAGAGATGCCCTTGTTTTACCAGCCAATAATACTAATTGCTATAGTACTGCTTTTACTGGTAAGTGTGGTAATTTTCTTATAATTTAAGGGGTATACTTGTGTCTCCTTTATTTGGCAGAGGGATTTGATGGTATTGGCTACCATGCAGTTTTGTACTCTCTTTAAGAAGGCCAGCAATGGAACACATTTTTTCCAATACCTGATCTGGGACCTTGAATTTGATCCCTAGCAACAGCATAGTCATACAGTCTGGAAGCATAACTAAGGCCAAGGTAGGGTTTTAAAAACCCTTGCAGTGCAGCACTAGGCAGTCTGTAATAAAAAAATTAAAAAGTGGTTGCAGCGCTCAATAATTACATATGTGAATAATTATAATCCACCATATAAACTTGTGCACAATAATAATGTGGTAATCCTTTAGATCAGTACAGTTCCTCCTAATCCTCTGAAACTGGCTTTTTTCTTTCATGTATGACCTTTTTTAATAGAGATTGTACACCTGATTTTAATTGTTGTAGCGTCTGCTGTCCCTCTGGTAGTTCTTGATGGACATGCAGACCGTTTGAGCTATGACAAAATGTCGCCTGGATATCGCGCATGCGCCTTTTTGTCTATTTAGCTGCGACCTGCACGTCACGGCGTACACCGGTTCTTTTCTCTGAGGATGTGCTCGGCACGTAACGCGTAAGGAGGAACCTGCGCACGCCTTGACGCCACGCCGTCGGAGCATTGTGGAGCTCCGGCGGCCATTACATCTGACAGGACGGTTAGTCCTGTTTGCTTTGTTGCTAGCCTTCATGTTTTGCTAGCTGTGTGCCAATTTGTTGCCATTTTATTGGATGCATCCTGTTTTATACCATTAAACCATTTTTACTGTACTTCACCATGGGCATTTTCTCTTGATTCCTTGTGGGGAGTATCTCCTCCTAGATATCGTTGATGTGCAGTGGAGGAGTGGTGGTTTTCTCAGGTGGAGCTGTGATTTCTTCCTTGCTGTCTAGTGGATCCTGTGCTGCTTTGGTCTGAGGATCTTCACTGATCCAGGGATTGCATCTACCCCCCTTGTTTCCATGATGACTACGTCCTGAACTCCATCTCTGCCATATTGCATGCACCTGTGGTCAGTGTGTACGGCCGCCTAAAGTCACCTTTACTGGGACTTTTCTACATTGGGACCTATTTTCTTTTATATTTTGATTCATTTTTTTACTTTATTTTTATCCATATCCCTTTCTCATAATTTATGTCACAATTATAGCGCTGCACTTTATATTTTATATTCATGTTTTTGGTTGTCCTGTGTGTTTCAGCTGCTTGTCCATTCTAAAGCGCTCACTTTTTTGTTCTTTGTTTCATACCAATATTAGCTTGTTACAAAGTATCCCTCATGAGCTCTCTCCCTCTCCAAAGTTGGACTCCTCTAACTCCACCAGGGGTCAATATCAGCACTCATATTCTCAAGGAACCACCACCAACAAGAGAACTTCTTTGGAGAGAGAGAGAGAGAACATGTGGGATACTATGTAACAAGCTCATATTGCTATTCAATTGATAGACAGCAAAACCTTGTGGTGCATGTACAACCTTCCTATTGGTGGAGGCAAGACACTACAGGTGATTTCTGTTTGCACTGTGGAGCTTTATGAAAAAGGCCCCCAGGACTGTTCACTTTGTTCATTTGATGTTCCATATGAGGTGTTTGCACTTTATGTTGCAGAACCTCAGTGGAAGAACTTTTTATTTTTACACATTTCTATTTATACACATTTTCTTTATGGACACATTATTATTGCACACAAGTTTATATGGTGGATTATAATTGTTCACATATTTAATTATTTAGCGCTGTCATTTCTTTTTTATTTTTTGAGGGTATTCAGTATATCTATATCCATTCCACATAGCTGTTGGTTTTATATTTATATGGATATCGCTGACTTCACTATATTGTGCTAGGCAGTCTGTGTAAAAGAGGTACATTTGCTCTGGCACAACAAGTAATGGAAGAACATATTGCTTAAGTTTATTATCCAGTGATCCAGTTGTTAAGTGAGAATATATCTTTGGTTAAAGAAAATAAGCCAGAGAAATTGAAATTATATTCCATTTTAAGGTTTTACATGTGCAATTCTTACATAACAGCAGACACCACAAGATATGTTAATTTTATTAGCCAAACACTTAGGGACCTTATTACAAAGTCAAAGAAAGGGGACACAGAAAAGGAGTTTTTGGCCAATAAAGCTTTCCATTTACCGTATTTTTCGCTCCATAAGACGCACCTGACCATAAGACGCACCTAGGTTTTAGAGGAGGAAAACAAGAAAAAAAATATTGTGAACCAATGGACTGCAGACATAGTACAGGAAATGACCAGAAACTGCAGACACAGTACAGGAGATGACCAGAAACTGCAGACACAGTACAGGAGATGACCAGAGACTGCGGACATAGTACAGGAGATGACCAGAGACTGCGGACATAGTACAGGAGATAAATAATGAATAAACCAGCGCAAACATAGACCTCTACACACAATCAATACATAAATACATAGGTCAAACGCCCTGAAGGAGGGGCGAAACGCGTTGACGCATTTCCGGTCTATACCCCGTACGTCTGACGTCACTTCCGGTGAGTGGAACGCACGCCGAGCGGTGCGTTCCAGCGGCCATTTTCTGGGATCTGTGGAAAGTCTCTCTCTGTATAGCTGCTGCTGTATCCTGAGCTGGGATGTGAGAGTCCTGAGGAGGCAAAAACAGTGTTCATTATTGGTCTGGAAGATGCTGGTTTTAAATAAACATGCCTTTTGAAAGAGAATTAAATGTGAGTGGTAATAATCCTTAGTTTGAATAACGATTTTAAGTGGCAATATTACACTATGTAAGTTTTTTTTCTCCCTGGTTGAACGGTGGAGCCTATTTGTATCGTGGAAGATCCCTTTAGAGTGAACAGCAAAGAGGGTATTAGGATCCCTTAAATCCCTAAAAAAAAGTGTCCCATTCACCTAAATCTGGTGAGTGTATTTGATGTTGGTTTCACAGGTGGAAGGTGAAAGTTTTTTTGGTGTATTTGAAGAGTCTTTGGGAGAGAAGAAAGTCACTTGATTTTTTTTGATTTTTTTCACTTGAGATTTTTTCACTTGATAATTTTTCACTTGATAATTTTTCACTTGATATATATATATATATATATATATATATATATATATATATTTCACGGACAAAAAAATCTTTTTGGTGTTTTCTGTGGACTTTCATTATTAATTTGTATTGATTTTTAATATTATTAATTTTATTTATATCTTTTATGATGCACTTTATGTATTGATTGTGTGTAAAGGTCTATGTTTGCGCTGGTTTATTCATTATTTATTGTGGTTTGTGTTTTTTGCACAGTGCACAGCAGCAGTATAGAACCTGTGGGAATCTGTTGGCGCAGGGATAATAGTTTATATAAATAAATAGTACAGGAGATGACCAGAGACTGCGGACACCGTACAGGAGATGACCAGAGACTGCAGACATACTACAGAAGATGACCAGAGACTGCCGAAACAATACAGGAGATGACCAGAGACTGCGGACACAGTACAGGAGATGACCAGAGACTGCGGACACAGTACAGGGGATGACCAGAGACTGCGGACACAGTACAGGGGATGAACAGAGACTGCGGACACAGTACAGGGGATGACCAGAGACTGCGGACACAGTACAGGGGATGACCAGAGACTGCGGACACAGTACAGGGGATGACCAGAGACTGCGGACACAGTACAGGAGATGACCAGAGACTGCGGACACAGTACAGGAGATGACCAGAGACTGCGGACACAGTACAGGAGATGACCAGAGACTGCGGACACAGTACAGGAGATGACCAGAGACTGCGGACACAGTACAGGAGATGACCAGAGACTGCGGACACAGTACAGGAGATGACCAGAGACTGCGGACACAGTACAGGAGATGACCAGAGACTGCGGACACAGTACAGGAGATGACCAGAGACTGCGGACACAGTACAGGAGATGACCAGAGACTGCGGACACACAGAGATACAGACACAGTACAGGAGAGATGACCATGAGACTGCGGACACAGTACAGGAGATGACCAGAGACTGCGGACACAGTACAGGAGATGACCAGAGACTGCGGACACAGTACAGGAGATGACCAGAGACTGCGGACACAGTACAGGAGATGACCAGAGACTGCGGACACAGTACAGGAGATGACCAGAGAGATGGCCAGAGACTGCGGACACAGACTGCAGACAGTACAGGGGATGACCAAGAGACTGCAGACTGACAGACCTTTGGGGAGTGGGTACCTGAATTTGACAGGTACCCGCTCCCACTTCCGCAGAGTTGTTCTCCCTTTATTGTGGGCACCCGGCTATCACAGCCGGGTACCCACACTAAAGATGCGCCGGAAGACTGTACAGAGCTGGACCCAGGAACAGGTAAGGTTCTGCTGAAGAGAATAGCCAAGTTGCCGGCCCTGTATTCTGACGCAGTGGCGGCGGGAATACCGGATCGGCCGCTCCATATTCACTCCATAAGACACACTGACATTCCCCCCCCTTTTTTGGGGAAAAAAGGGCGTCTTATGGAGTGGAAAATACAGTATTTGAGACAGAACTTAAAGTTTTAATATAATTGATTTTTAAGGGCACACTTTGCCTTTAACATTTTCTGCTTCCATATTAATAACAATTATATCAACAGGTGTTTTGTTATGGGTTTGGCACAAATGTTCATCATCTAAGTCTGTTACCGAGAAATTATGATGGAGACAGAGAGAGACTGCCCCCCCCAAATCCACAGAGACATGATCAGTATATTGAAGGCGGGGATGGTCGCTTCCACAATAATCCACAGCCAATCCAACCACGGCATGCTGACGATCACAGGGATGTTTCAAATCGTAGACCAGAGGCCTTGCCCCCCCAGGATTTGACAGATTTCAGTAATCGCCAGCCAGAGGTAAAAAGTATAAATTATTTTCCTTTAGTAGACTGGATCAATGGATCAGGGTTTCACATTAAACAATCCAAACAATGCTGATCATTTACAGATCAATTGCTACCCCTTTAGACTAACCTAAATGGTTGTCCTTACTGTATATCCCCACATACCCATTTTTTTCTGATTTCAACACATCCACTCCAGGAACCTGTTCAGTTGCAACCTAATATATTCCACCCACATTCAGGTGCCATTGTAACAAGATAATCAATGTTGGTCATGGCTGATCAATGTATATTAAAAGTTGTTGCCTGCGCTGTACACTTGTCATGTGTATACTTGTCCACTCTGCACTCATTCTTTTTCCACAGTTCCGTCTGCATCATTCAGCATTACACTCCCTATGACTGCTATGTGGCTGCTGCTTGTTCCAGCGTCTGTTATTTTATGCTCCTGTTCTCCATAATGCTATTTTTTTTATGCGGTATGTTGTCTCCTGGCTGCCATAGTGTAAATAAAGTCCCAAGAAGATTTTAAATGCCAACTGATATTTCATACAGTCTGCTAAGCCAATACTAGACCATTTCCACAGTCACATGCCGCTTTTTACTTCTTCTCCCCTTGCACGATGATTTATGTTATCCCCTCTCTTTCATGCCCTTCAGTACTTGATTAACTCGTGCTCTGTCCCTCCCTAGTCATCTACATTCTGCTTTCAATTTGACAAGCTAGTACTTAATCAGTTCACACTTTGTCTGCGCTATATTTCTACTTCAATCACCTAGTACTCTACTTTGTTTACCTTTCCCAATGTTCTGTGGTCAGCTCCTGCATATCTACACTTCACTTCCTGCCATGTACAACTTCTACTCGGCCTCCTCTATGACCCTTAGTCCATGTTCAGCTGGAGTTCCACCTTCTCTTTCTTCCCTCTGTCCTCTGTAATGCATGCTAGATGGTGAATCACTCAAAGGCCAAAAATAATTCAGCCTAAATTAGGCCATCGATGAATGGGCATGCTTTTGCTAGTACATGAAAAAAAAAATTATGAAATATAAAAACATAAAATGAAGTCTTTTTTTTTTATCAGCAGTCTCATGTCTTACTGAAATAATATTACTGTATTTTGCAAACACCACATAACAGTTAATACAAATTCATCTTTAGTTTGTAGAATGGATCTCTGCCTAATGAGCAACCACAAAAGAAAAAAGTGGCTCTAAGGAAAAGAATCATTGGCCAACATATAAAGGATGAGCCTTCTGGACAGCTGCAGAATAAAGATGATTCTTTAGACCAGAGACCTCGAAGTCAACAGCCAGTGAGGGAACTTCTGGAAGACATCCCTCTTGGATCCCAGGGTCAGTGGGAAGACAATGAACCTCTTAATAAAATAACACATGCTCACCAAGATTTCTCTGGCAGTCATGTTGACAATAAAGAAAATCGGTTACCAGATGGAGAGACAATAGAGAACATAGTAAGTGCCTTCATCTTATTAAACATATGCAGTTGTGTGTATTTTGCAGGAAGGATTTCTGTATAAGGCTATGGGGGGGAGCTACATTCACACCTGAGCATTGTGATTTTCATGTATTTTTATTTAAGGGTATTTTTGAGCGTTTTTGTGAGCGTATTCAAGCGTTTAAAAAACATATCAGAAGCATTTCACATTTGTATTCAAGCCTCAGGCACTTTTATTTTAGCCAATGAAAAACACTAGTGAAAGGAAATACACTTTGCAAAAACTTCTGGAGAAACCCTCAAAGATGCTCAATTTGGGAATTTTAGGATTGACGTTTAATGAGCCAAAAATGCCCAAATCTGCTTGCAAAGTACCTCATATAGCTCCTGAAGCTTCAGTTGTTGAGCTACAGGCTCCTGAGTGCTCATTTGTGAACAGTCAACATGGGATTTTGGATGCAGCGTATTTTAGAGCTCGGAGTTAAGAAAACAAAAATGACCAGGTGTGAACAGGGCCTTACAGACCAGTAGATCTCTTATTGAGAATGACAGCTCGTGAAAGATCATGTTTTTCTTCAATATGATTGTAGCTCCATTGTGACATTTTCCCCGATTTAAGACTACCCTGAGAACCAGCACAGCCTCATTGAAAGCAAAATCATGCAACGTGGATTAAAACACTTTTCATATGGAGCTAGTCAATATCTTCCCTATACTATAGCTAAATTAATTATTTAAGAAAATTTCTTAAAAACCTGCATTTGTTTAGAAGTATCTATTTAATTAAGAGGTTAAAGTTATTACTAAATCAAATAGTAAAATGTTATTGATAAATGTAGACCATACTAGATTTATTTACAGTATCTCACAGAAGTGAGTACACCCCTCACATGTTTGTAAATATTTTATTATATCTTTTCATGTGACAACACTGAAGAAAGGACACTTTGCTACAATGTAAAGTAGTGAGTGTACAGCTTGTATAACAGTGTAAATTTGCTGTCCTCTCAAAATAACTCAACACACAGCCATAATGTCTAAACCACTGGTAACAAAAGTGAGTACACCCCTAAGTGAAAATGTCCAAATTAGGCTCAAAGTAAGTGTCAATATTTTGTATGGCCACCATTATTTTCCAGCACTGCCTTAACCCTCTTGGTCATGGAGTTCACCAGAGCTTCACAGGTTGCCCTCTTCCACTCCTCCATGACAACATAACGGAGCTGGTGGATGTTAGAGACCTTGCACTCCTCCACCTTCCGTTTGAGGATGCCCCACAGATGCTCAATAGGGTTTAGATCTGAAGACATGCTTGGCCAGTCCATTACCTTTACCCTCAGCTTCTTTAGCAAGGCAGTGGTCATATTGGAAGTGTGTTTGGGGTCGTTATTATGTTGGAATACTGCCCTGCGGCCCAGTCTCTGAAGGGAGGGGATCATGCTCTGCTTCAGTATGCCACAATACATGTTGGCATTCATGGTTCCCCAGAACTGTAGCTCCCCAGTGCCGGCAGCACTCATGAAGACCATGACACTCCCACCACCATGCTTGACTGTAGGCAAGACACACTTGTCTTTGTACTCCTCACCTGGTTGCCACCACACACCACGCTTGACATCATCTTCAGCAAACTGTTTGTGGGCTTTCTTGTGCATCATCTTTGGAAGAGGCTTCCTTCTGGGACGACAGTCATGCAGACCAATTTGATGCAGCATGGTCTGAGCACTGACAGGCTGACCCCCCACGCCTTCAACCTCTGCAGCAATGCTGGCAGCACTCTACGTCCATTTCCCAAAGACAACCTCTGGATATGACGCTGAGCACGTGCACTCAACTTCTTTGGTCGACCGTGGCGAGGCTTGTTCTGAGTGGAACCTGTCCTGTTAAACCGCTGTATGGTCTTGGCCACCATGCTGCAGCTCAGTTTCAGGGTCTTTGTAATCTTCTTATAGCCAAGGCCATCTTTATGTAGAGCAACAATTCTTTTTTTCAGATCCTCAGAGAGTTCTTTGCCATGAGGTGCCATGTTGAACTTCCCATGACCAGTATGAGAGAGTGAGAGCGATAACACCAAATTTAGCACACCTGCTCCCACACCTGAGACCTTGTAACACTAACAAGTCACATGACACCGGGGAGGGAAATGGCTAATTGGGCCCAATTGGACATTTTCACTTAGGGGTGTACTCACTTTTGTTGCCAGCAGTTGGCACCTTGTCTATTAAGAAGATGTATTGTATTCTTTTCAATGAATAAAAAAGTGTTCTGTGATTGGACTAGAGTAGATCATGACATTTATCCTTCCCTCCTCTCCACCACTTTGTCCAATCACAAAAACACCTTGTGTACCCTGACAATAATACAAGATATTTTCCAAATGGACAAAGTGCCAAGTGAATGACCCCCTGTTATCAGTGTACAAGCTAGGAACTTGTAGCAGCAGTGCCTAGAAGGTTAAAGCTCACACTGTATCTGGTCCAATCTGACTTCTAAATATAATTTTTTTATTTTCTTGGAGGTCTACTTGAATGGTGATAGTTCATATTTGTCACATTTGTACACTGCATTAATGTGCGTTGGTCAAAACAAAAGTGCAAACAGAAATGTTTGAACCCAGCCTTAATGTTTGGGGGTGCCTAAATGTTAACCTTCTACAGCCACGTATACACATATTTGCAGCCTCACAATTGTTACATTCTATTTACTATTTCATTCTTATGTAGCATGTGATATCAGTTACAGAAGCATTATAATTAAACAAAACAAAAACAAAACATTTTTCTTGATAATATAGTGCAGAATGCAGGCTTAGTCATAGACGACTGGGTTATATGCTGTTACCTTCAGTTGACTCAACAATGGCAAACAGAACTGATAGGACGCTCATGTAACCCCTTCCACTGACGGTTATCCTCAGTTTTTTACATGTGTCCATGGTGATGGACACTTTATTTCTATTTAGGGAGATTACTTTTTTTCTGAACATTATCTCCTGTCTGGATTCTTGCTCATACCTAGCTATGCTCCCACCTTTATGACTATTAGTAAATTAGGCATGCAACTGGGACCATTCCCAAACCCCGCTTAAGAGATGAAAGTTGCAGGGCCAGCCTGTAAGTCTCTACGGGCTCTTGTTCCTGTGTTAGATGCCTCACTTTGGCACTTGTGCAACATGTCAAGTGGTACACAGATCCAGGGCAGTGGCAATGTATGAAAGTATTATCCAGTCTCTGAGGACCCTTTTCGGGGGTATGCCCCTCTAGAGCGAGTGAAGCTGGGGTGTCGCAATTCCTCTTTAAATATTGCAGTCCTGTTGTCCTGCTGGTTGGTGAGTAATGGGCCAGTTTCTTTATATCTATTACCTTTTTGTGTCCCCTGGCCATCCCTATCCTTCCCTTTTGGGTGTTTTTGGAACTAGCTCAGTAATAATTGTGCATACACTGTCTGTGCAGCACTGTCTAGGAAAGTGAGTGGCGCTATGGAGCAGATTTTTGTATTGTAGCCCAAGTCTTTGTGCAGGGAGTTGCTTATTTATCTACTCCCAGACACTCTGTGGTGATGTCATGGGATCTCAATCTGGTACTTGCGGCTCTGCAAAGGCTTTCCATTCCAACCTCTAACCAGGATGTTCCTTTATCTAAGCTCACTCGCAAGGTGTTTTTTTTCTTGTTGCCATCATTTCCACTTGGCGAGTATCATAGTTGGCAACATTGTTTTGTAAGGAACCTTTCCTTTTTGTTCCACAAGGCTAAGCTTGTCCTAAGACTTCCTTTCTGCCCAAGGTGGACTCCTCCTTTCACCGTAACCAGGATGTCTTCCTGCTATCCTTCCGTCTGGCTCCTAAGCACCCTAGAGTGGTCTATTTTCACTGCTTGGAGGCTGTAGCTGACTGGCAAGCTGATACAGCTTGATTTACCGTACATCCCTTTCAGATTCCTTTTATTCTTCCTTAAGGCTCTCACGGGGAACATCCTGCTTCATATTCCACCATCGCTGGATGGATTTGTCAGGTCATTGTTAAGCCTATTCCTTGCAGAATAAAGTCCTCACTTTTCTGTTAAGGTCAACTCCACTAGGACTAGATCTGTGGGAGTTTCTTGGACTTTTCAGTATCAGGCATCAGTTTTACCAGGTGGATGTTCAAGCCTCTGATGATGCTTGCTTTGGCTATAAGGTGCTGCATCAGCTGTGTTTTGAATCTTCTACCCTTGTGTTTTTTGTGGGCCTGTTGCCAGTCCCAGTCATCTACAATTAAGCCTGTGACCTGTACAATCAAGGAAAAAATATTTTTGACTTACCTGTAAAATTCATTTCTTTGAGTACAGTACAGGACCCTCCCATCTGTCTTGTTTATCGTTCATTGTTTGCTAAAAGAAAAAAAAAAAAACCTGAGGATAACTGTCTGTGGAAGGGGTTATATGTGGGTTCTAATGGTTCTGTTTGCTAGGTTACAGCATATATAACCCAGTCATCTATGTGTACTGTACTGTACTGTACTGTACTCCAAGAAGCAGATTTTTCAGGTGTGTCAATTATAATAAAATATATAACTAACACTTTATTAACCCTTCATTAACTCTAATCTGCCCTAATGAACACCTTCCACCCCTTAGATATTATTTTTCAGCTGATATTTTTTGCATTCTTCTTTATTACCATTATTTCAGTTTTTTCATTTTTCCTCAGTTTCTTTTTCTCCAGTGTAGCATAAAACAAATTGTGCAGAATTGAAGAAAAAAGTTGCAGATAATTTGCTATGTTTTGTGTGAAAAACATAATTTAACAATCTTCATAAACAGAAAAAAAAAAATATTACAGTGATTGCACGAAAAAAACCCCGACAGGCTAATTGTACTGAAGTTGATCAATAGATCGACTTCAATACAGCCAGTATGCCTATAGATGGATTGAAATTTTGCCAGTTCCTGCTGAAACAGACGAATTTCAATCCACCTATTGCTGGCTTAAATGGTAGGATGTTACAGGCTCCCTCCCTACACTGAAGGATCTAGTGCAGTGGCTTACTTGTTCAGAGCATGCATGCACAGTGCTTGAGCTCTCCCTCCCTGACGTCTTATAGCTACAGAGGGAGAGCTTTTTTGCAGATAGGTCATGTTTGACCTTCAGGTATTGAATGACATGTGTGACCTTCAGGTATGGAATGACAAAGGAGAAGGTTTGTTTTAAAAGCAGTGAAGTGGATAGTAATGTGCTTGGGATGCTGCAGAGTATGGGTGTTTTGTGGAAAATGTCCCTAAAGGTGAACTAGCCCTTTAAAGTGTGTGTATGTAAGACTAACAATTAACGTCTATTCTATTTACTCCCTCTTCTTCTGCTAAGTACACTATTGAATGTTTTTTTTGTCTGTTTGATGAGTGAAAAAAATACCTATTGACTGTACCAGAAATCTTGTGATCTGACTACTTCTTGTGCTGACTAATTGTAGAGAAGAAGTGTTAGGCCCCTTTCACAAAGGCAGACTCCGCCAGATCTACCTCCTCAGGGCGGAATGTGCACAATTAACCCCACTCTGTATATGTGGAACAAACACAGACTCAACCCACTTTCCTCTATGGGCAGTTGGATGTAAGCAGACCGCCTCTCCGTTTACATCCGACTGCAGGACTACAAGTTCCATCATGCTCTGCACGGTCATAAGCTGTAACAGTCAATATTGCAATGTCTCATGGGGACATGTAGTCATTCGATCCAGACCAGGGGTTTGCAGGAAACAAGATCCACTAGTCAATTTTGCAACGGATTTGGAACAGGTCTGCATATGTTTTTAGATTTGCATATGATCAGATGTCGGCAGATGTACACAGACACATGTCTGTTTTACATCCGCGGCTCCATAAAGGGCAATGGATGGTCTGATTGGGTCCACCTAAAAAACTGACAAGCCGACCCGACCGGTCCACCCGTTTGAAAGGGTCCTTATGGAGGTGGGGGATGAGGTTTGTATTCTTTGTAATGTTTTGGAAATGCGTTAGGCGGGCTGACAAAATGCTGTTCGAAATCCAAAAAATGTGCATTTATCACAGAGACGTACTAAATGTTTGGGTTTTTTTTTTCTTGACATGTGATTTAGGTTTTGACAAAATATTCACCAGATAAACAGGCCCATAGTGAAAATGTAAATATTGTATTAGTACAGATGTAAAAAGCACAGAATATGTGATCTTCTGTGCTAAAAGTAGAAACATTCTAGAGATGTTTGGGTACTGAAACTTTCATACTTTATTTTATGTCCTCTAATGAAAGTTAGGGTTTCCTTTATAACTAAGACAACCGCACACTGGTTTTCACAGAAGTCTGCACAGAGCTTAAAATAAAATTCTAGCCTAATGTTAACTATACTTTGAAATGTTCCCTCGCCCCTCCTGCTACTTATCCTACCTAACCTGTGAAAAAAAGATGTGTATATATACTTATTTTTAGTCTGCTCCGGCCTGGTAACATGATCCCCTGTCAGTGAGCTGCGGCTGCAGGGGAGGAGGCGCTTGTCATTGGCTAGGAATTTCAGGAGCCATGGTGTCACTCTTGGCCTCCCACATGCCAGTCAGCGTTGGTGTTCCCTCCTCTCCCCTGCAGCCATCTCTCACTGACGCAGGGGGGGGAGCTAGAGCTTTCATGGTCACATGACCAGATCAGAGTGGACTAAAAATTGGTAAATATACATATCTTTTGTACACAGGTTAAGCAGGATAGTTAGCAGGTGGGGGGGAGGGAACATTTATAAATGTAGTTTATGCCATCTGTATGGCCCAGCCTAACACTGACAAGGAAGGACACTTTTTTTTTTTTTTGCTACGTGTGAATATGCATATTAGACCCTATAACTACGTATGTTTATGAAGCAAAGTAACAGGAACCATAAATTGCCTGCTCCTATTTTGACAGCTCCTAGCAATCTTCCTGCTCTGTTGATGATGCCCCCTTTAAATACTGACTTTCTGAAAGTCTGTTTTTACATAGGGGTCTAGACCATCTACTACTCTTGTGAATGTGTTTTGACCTGACTAGAAGGCTCCATACACACTTGGCTTAAAAAAAAAACCACCAGTTCCCTTGGCAGAAAAAGACGCAGATCTAGAGCGTTTTTGCACACAGTTTAGACAAGTTTGGGAGAGTTTAGCGGAGTTTTTTTCTACCAGAAAGCTCCAATCAAAAACGCAAACCAGAAGGGTTTTTTTTTACTGCCTCTAAATGTTGAGCTTAAAATATGCCTCTAATTGTCCTAATGTGCATGGACACATAGGATAACACTGAGCTGCTTCTACAGGCAAAACTCCTGTAGAAGCAGCCATTTTTAAGCTGTTGTGTGCATGAAGCCTGAGTCACTCCTACACCAAGCATGACATTGTGAGAGGGCTAGGAGTGTGGGCGTACCTAAATTTGGGCGGGTTTTAAGAGACATTTTACCAATAGATCAGGAATGTTCTAACAGAGTTTTTTTTTTCACTAGGCCATGTACTGGTTGCAGATTTCCTTTAAATTTCTGTGATTGCAACTTGTCATTGTAATGTAGTAAAATAATTTATAAATCTTAACTTTATAGAGGCAGTCCACTGGAAAAGTCAAAGTAAAAAATGAATCTACAGAGGAAGAGAAAAGGATCAGCAACTAATAAAAGAAGATGGACCCCAAGGGCTTGTCGAAAACAGTCACTTAGTCGTGGAAGATTTATATACAAATCCTGGAAATGAGGAACAGCCAGAATCTTTCAGTTTTGTGATACTTGAACGAGAAAGGTTACAAGATGACATGTCTGTAAAGCAAACTATAGGACCATTAGAGCAAAACCGTGTGTGAGACCAAAAAGTCAAAATCCAGATATGGTTAAGAAGCACTTGATGACAGATGAAATTTCTTGAGCCTTAGGCTTCTTTCAGTTCACCGGCCCACTCGCTGCACCATTTGTTCTGTGGTTGTTTCTAACCATAAACTTAAATGTTTCATATTAAAGTGGAGACCTTTCTGTACTATAGCCCACAGGGTAAACAAGGGTAATCTCTCTAATTGGATCAGACATTTGTGTAATCCCAACAGTTTCCAGCCCCTGCAAATGTCATTTATAGCAGATACTAGATGAAATGATCCAGTTAAAATAGCCATCAGATGTTTGACATCTGCATTCTGTCCCTCCTCCTGGTAACTAAAGTAGAATCCCGCTTCTCTGTGATTGACTGGTTGTTGGACGGTGCACTTATTTTTATTGTAAGTGCATTTTATTCATTTTTATTCATTAAAATGTGTTTTATTTGAGTTATCCAGTTTGTTCTATTTCTGCTTCTTTGCCACTTACAGTCAGAAAACGCTGACCATAGGTTTTCACCTTTAATCTATTGCTCACAATGCACACATAATATTTAGAGTGTTATAAAACATTTATTGGAGAAAGCTGAAAATACAGATTACAATTTGGTCTTACAGTCGCTTTTACCAAAGCTATGTAATATGAGCACCTAACAGTCCATTTAGATTGTACCATCATGCAAGCCTGTATACTTCATGATTGTTAGCAGATATAAAAAAAATAGCATACAGTTAAGCTGGCCATAGATGGATTGAATATCAGCTGGTTCAGCAGGAACCGGCCAAGATTCAGTCCATTTATGGGCAGGCCGATTGTACCAAAGTTGATCCATAGATCAGTTTGGGTACAACCGCACTTCTGATTTTTGATTTGCAATTATTGACTAATTAACAGCTATACCTGCTAGCAATAATCATTGTGTTTTTCCCAGCCCATGGTTGAAGGAAAGAAAATAGCATAATCTATGGCCTGCCTAAGGCTACACTGTGTATGGTCAGCTTTATCTGGAACATTTTCTAATAGCTAAGTGAATTGTGAAGCTGGCCATACATGTTACATTTTGATTGTGCAATGTCTTTTACATTTGAATTGGATTTCACGTGTGTGTGTGTGTGTGTATTTGGCTAGCATAACACACAAAGTAGTTTAAAGTATTAATATTGTGAATTGAAGATATCCACAAAGGCTTATATAAAAGCACTGCAAGAAACAGGTTTAAAATTGTAGTTCATGCTTGCCTTAGGACTGCTGGTTGCTAGACCAGGAGCTCTGAGTATTTAGCTCACCACCACATACCAGTTGTCACACAATTTTAGTACCAGCACATTGTTTGAATGGGTGCAATCAGCTCAACAGAATTGGGACCCACTACACTAAATCAAACAATGCATCAAGACTAGAAGTGTGTGGCAAACGGGACTCAGAGCTCTTGATCTAGCCATTGGCAGCCCACAGTAAGTAAGTGTAATCTACAGTGTTACACTTACCTCACACAGTGCTTTTATAAAGTGCCCATTCATACTAGAATGCAGTGTGCCACAATAGTCACATTTTCCTGCGTTAAAGTGTGTTATGGTGCACTGCACTAGGCAGCTCTTTCAAAATGAATGGGCTTCAACACAAATAAAATGGGTGCAGTCTGAATTTATCAACTCAATGCACAGCATATTCAATATTTTGTACACTCATGTCTAGACATGGTTTGAGAACTGCCTATGAATTCTGCCCATGCATTGTCCTTCTGTCGCATAAGCCGCTGGTTTAATTTACAAGCATCTGTTCCCAATCACATTGTACCTTTGTCACTATCAGCAAGCCTGTGTAGAGTGATGAAGTGCACATGGATTGTGTACATGTAGATAGGAAGTGGCTGAAAAGGGTAGGAGAAGTTTAATACAAAGATATTTAAAATGTGGTTGGAGAAAAAACGCAAACAGGTTTTTTTTTTTTGTTTGTATTTATATAAGCTTTTTATGATGCAAAGTGCTGGGGAACAGGGGAGAGAGACATTGAGTGGAATTGATCAAAGTTGGAGCAGACAATATCTAGAGCAGCGGTACATAGTAAGCAAACAACTTCTGCCTTCAGCTTGTTTAGTTAAAGAGCATGGCTGCCCCTAAATGGGTCAGGTTTTTTTTTTTTTTTCAGTGAAAAATAAAGTGAACAAAGTAAACAAGTGAAGTGGAGGGAGGAATCCTCCCCACTGTATTCTGACAGCAAGGACTCCTCTGTATCTATCATAGTGCCTGCTATGGCAACCAGTCATTGGCCAGTGCGGCCATGTTGTTGCGCCAATCAATGATAAACACTTCTGTGACTCCTCAGAGCCATCCCCGCCAGGAGAACACAGTGATTACTGCAAGTGGCTAGCAATAATCGCATGTACAATCTGTCAGGCTGGTTGTACACAAGTTGATCAAGCCATCAACTTTCGTACATTCAGGCCTGCCCGTACATTGTTCCAATCTTGGCCGGTCCCTGCTGAACCAGCCAAGATTTGAACTGTCTATGGCTGGCTTAACTGCTTTCTAGCTGCACTATAGCAGAGGTACTGCTAAAGGGCAGCATGGGTGCACAAAATCACGTGTATATATACGCGATTTTGCATTTCCGGGTAGGGGGTGCCCATGCGCCACCATTTGCGGCCGCGGCTGTCAATCACCAGGCCCCAGCCGGTAATTACTCACCTGCGCCCCGTGATTTCCGAGGATCTCCGACAGGGAGGAGCACTGTTTTGTTTACTAACAGTCCTCCTCCCTGTCACCTCGGGCACACTGCTGTGGATGGCTGTGCACAGCACAGCCATCCTCAGCAGTGTGATTACAGTGAAGCACCAACACACCACCCCCTTGTAAAACATTCCCTGCACACAGTTAACCCTTTGATCGCCCCTCATGTTAACCCCTTCCTGCCCAGTGCCATTTGTACAGTCAGTGCTTTTTTTTTTTTCTAGCACTGATCACTGTATTGGTGTCACTGGGGATGTCAGTGACACCAATCAGTTCCCCCCAGTGTCAGAATGTCCGCCACAGTCCCGCTATAAGAATACCGCAGAATACATTTTGGCCTAAATTTATGACGAAATTTGATTTTTTTTAACATTTTTTTACTGGACATGTTTAATAGCACAAAGTCCAACCTATTGTTTTTTCTCAAAATTGTCGTACTTTTTTTTTTTTTATATCGCAAAAAAATAGAAACCACCCAAGCCATCAAATACCACCGAAAGAAAGCTCAAGTCATAGAAAAAAAAGGACGTAAATTTCATTTGGGTGCAGCACAATTGTCAGTTAAAGTAACGCAGCGCTGTAACGCAAAAAATGGCCCGGTCAGGAAGGGGGATAAATCCTCTGGAGAGCAAGTGGTTAAAGCTGGCCATAGATGATTTGTTGTTGGGTTTTTTTTTGTTCAGACCCACCCCCCCCCCCCCCCCCCCGTTCCAAATACATTGTAGTCTAACAGCAGTACTCTCTGCTACCAGACTACACTGATCAGCGACTGATCAACAACAGTACCATTTGACAAAGTCGATCTAACAAACGACTTCTACTGAACAGGAATGGCTACACATGGTTTGATTTTTTTTTTTTTTTACATTCTTTATTTAAGAAGGGGCTACATCACACACATACAGAAAATAGATGTAATACAGATCATATTCAGTAGAACAAACATATTACCAATTGTATATGCATTGCTAGGCATAAAAAAAGCAATTAATTTAAAAGCCGCTATAAACGAACGAAGTTGTTAAAAATCAATCGTAATCTCAAGAAAATGTTTAAATTGTAAATGGAAACAAAGATATGTTATTGGCATTGTGATGTCACCCACCTTTTAACAAGAAACAAAACGGAGCTCAACTGAGGAGGGTTCCCCATAATAACAAGAAGAATAGGTAATACATTACCAAGAAAGGAGAGGTCTGCAATGAGAGCACGGCCTGCCGCCTGGGGGGGGGGGGGGGGGGGGGGGTCATAGTTCATAGCCATTAATCGTTCCAGTAGAACCACTTGACCCTAAAGGCTGCTGTGAGATCTTCCATTTCCTGTATATCTTTTACCCTGGTAGACTATTGTTTCACAGGTGGGCTACTTTTTCATACACTAGGGATACGGGCCTTGGCTGCTGTCAGCAGCTTCAGGAGTAGACAGTTCTTGTAACGTTTACTTGACATAGTAAGGTGGAGAAATATGGCTGCTGGGTCATCCATCTGGAAAAAACCCATGGTGTGATGTATGATCTCCAGGACTAGTTGCCAGAAGGTTTATAGGGCTGGACATTCCCAAAAGAACCGTCAGCAAGTCGTAGAGTGTTGGGGGGGGGGGGGGGGAGTTTAGCTAGTATAACTTGTGTTCTATACCATCTGATGATGATCTTATAGGATATTCCTTGATGTTTGTTACATATTGATGCCTTGTGAGCAAAAATCAAAATTCTATCTTTTTATTTGTCTGAAAATGTTAGTCTCAAGGTGGCCTTCCACTTCTGAATGAACTTCGGGTGATTCCGAGAATATGCACTCAGAAATTCTCTGTAGGAGGATAAAGCATGCCGTGCTGGACATTCTGTTGTGCAGGGACTTTCAAAAGGCGTATGGATTGAAATTTTCTCAAAAGTGTAGTTACTCTTTTAAGCTTTGGAAAAGAAAGATGGCTTTAAAGGATAAGTTCACCTTTCATAACTTGTTACATGTTCAGGGTGCAACGTGTAACATGTTATGAATAGACCAGCCCCCGCTTTGACAGCTAGCGAGGGATCTTCTCCTGCTAGCAGTCAAAAATGAAAAAAACGCGCCTGTGCGGGGCTACGCCTAGCCCGCCACATCTCTCGTTCACAGTCCTCTGTGAATGAGAAATTACGAGTGCCAACAGCCTTAGTGGCTGTCGGCATGTACAGTATGTCACTGAAGTGAGTACACCCCTCACATTTTTGTAAATATTTTATTATATCTTTTCATGTGACAACACTGAAGAAATGACACTTTGCTACAATGTAAAGTAGTGAGTGTACAGCTTGTATAACCGTGAAAATTTGCCGTCCCCTCAAGATAACTCAACACACAGTCATTAATGTCTAAACCGCTGGCAAAAAAAGTGAGTACACCCCTAAGTGAAAATGTCCAAATTGGGCCCAAAGTGTCAATATTTTGTGTGGCCATCATTATTTTCCCGCACTGCCTTAACCCTCTTGGGCATGGAGTTCACCAGAGCTTTACAGGTGGCCACTGGATTCCTCTTCCACTCCTCCATGACAACATACCGGAGCTGGTGGATGTTAGAGACCTTGCGCTCCTCCACCTTCTGTTTGAGGATGCCCCACAGATGCTCAATAGGGTTTAGGTCTGGAGACATGCTTGGCCAGTCCATCACCTTTACCCTCAGCTTCTTTAGCAAGGCAGTGGGGTTGTTATCATGTTGGAATACTGCCCTGCGGCCCAGTCTCTGAATGGAGGGGATCATGCTCTCATGTCACAATACATCTTTGGCACTCATGGTTTTCTCAATGAACTGCAGCTCCCCAGTGCTGGCAGCAATCATGCAGCCCCAGACCATGACACTCCCACCAACATGCTTGACTGTAGGCAAGACACACTTGTCTTTGTACTCCTCACCTGGTTGCCACCACACACGCTTGACACCATCTGAACCAAATAAGTTTATTTTGGTCTCATCAGACCATAGGACATGGTTCCAGTAATCCATGTCCTTAGTCTGCTTGTCTTCAGAAAACAGTTTGTGGGCTTTTTTGTGCATCATCTTTAGAAGAGGCTTCCTTCTGGGATGACAGCCATGCAGACAAATTTGATGCAGTGTGCGGCGTATGGTCTGCGCACTGACTGGCTGACCCCCCTACCCTTCAACCTCTGCAATAATGCTGGCAGCACTCATACGTTTATTTCCCAAAGACAACTTCTGGATATGACGCTGAGCACGTGCACTCAACTTCTTTGGTCGACCATGGTGAGGCCTGTTCTGAGTGGAACCTGTCCTGTTAAACCGCTGTATGCTCAGTTTCAGGGTCTTGGCAATCTTCTTATAGCCTAGGCCATCTTTATGTAGAGCGAAAATTCTTTTTTTCAGATCCTCAGAGAGTTCTTTGCCATGATGTGCCATGTTAAACTTCCAATGACCAGTATGAGAGAGTGAGAGCGATAACATCAAATTTAACACACCTTCTCCCCATTCACACCTGAGATCTTGTAACACTAACGAGTCATGACTCCGGGGAGGGAAAATGGCTAATTGGAAACCAATTGGGACATTTTAACTTAGGGGTGTACTCACTTTTGTTGCCAGCGGTTTAGAGATTGATGGCTGTGTATTGAGTTATTTTGAGGGGACAGCAAATTTACACTGTTATACAAGCTGTACACTCACTATTTTACATTGTAGCAAAGTGTCATTTCTTCAGTGTTGTCACATGAAAAGATATAATAAAATATTTACAAAAATGTGAGGGTGTGTACTCGCTTCTGTGAGATACTGTAGCTCTCAATGAACCACCATGGTCCATCCGCTCCGTGAGGACGTCGATGAGGAAAAGCTTAGGGCGGTGCCTTTGGATGTGAGGTTCAGAATACTCCTGGTTTGTCTGCACGTTGCATGTGCATGTTTGGCTGGGTCTGAGTCGCCTATATTCATTATACATGCTGTTTACACTGGTGTCAGTCTGGACACCTTGCTTGTAACTGCATTTTTTTATTAAAGTTTTATGCATTTTAAAACATACTGCACCATGATTGTTCGCTTTTTTCTTTTGAGTGACGGTCTGATCATCTCTCAGTTTGGATACTAAATCACCTTTGGAGTGGATTTTCTACTTTGCAGCACATCATCTGTTGGAGTTCATCTCTCATTTTCTCAGTGTTGTCACCATATTATTCATTTCTCCCAGAATAAAAAGTACTATATGCTGGTTTTTCAACAATCAGCATTTTCACTCTGGTGAGTTCTATTTAAAACCATTTTTGGTGGTGGATTTACTTGGTGATGAATTATTTTGGAAATTATTGATTATTTGAACGTTTGGACTTTTTTCGTTTTTGCTGGATTTTATTTTGATTTATAATATTGTTTCTTATTGTTTTGTTATTTATTTTCTTGTTATACTTTTGCATGTATTTAAGCGCAACCTATTTCTTTGAAGTTTTGTATATCCTATAAGTTTATAGACTAGGTTTTGCAGCTTACTGTGTTATATAATTTCTGTGGCGCTGGTTCTTTATTTATATACATTTTTTTAAACCCCTGAAGAGTTGCAGTTTACGATATCACTCCTAAATTAGGGAGACTGTTTCAACTCTTATTGATGCAGTACACACTATTCTGAAAATGGATCAGTCTGTTGCTTCTACCAGTTCTTTTCTCTATTGGATCAGTTCCCCATCAAGCCATCTTGGGTCTTGTAGCAGCAGTATTGTTTCAGGGGTTTTATTCCAACCTGTTAATTGTCCTCAAACCCAAAAGGAAGCATTCACCCCATCTTGGATCTTAAGATTCTGAACATCTTCATTTCGGTCCAAAACTCTGAATGAACTCCACAAGAGCTGTCATCACCTCCTTTACCCAGGGAAAAATCTGGCTTCTATGAACATCAAAAATGCTTACCTGCATGTCCTCATCTTTCCAGCACACAAAAAATCCTTTGTAGTTTGTGGTCCTGCAGTTTTACCTCTCATTTGCTGACCAGGTATTCATTTAAAGTGTTACTAAACCCAGGACCCTGCATTCACTATATCTGGTCTCCCACAGTACACACAACATGGAGATGCAATTATTTTAGTAAATATAACCTGATAAATACCTTTTCTCATCAGCAGTAAATAGCAGTCTTGTGACTTCTATCATTGTCCAGCTGAGCACTGGTTAATCTTGTAGGAGGCGTTTTCATTCTGCTCTGACTGTCCTATGATGCTTCATAACCCCTAACCCTCTGTCTGGACAGTGCTGATTGGCCCTGTGCTGATCACATGCACCCTCCAAAAGGAGAAAAAAAGTGCTCTAGCAATACACACTAAATTGAGCATGTGCGGAGTGTCTTCTAGACCTCTATGTAGCAAACTTGCGCATCAGAGATGGACGCAGATTCCCCCTTTTATTAAAAGTATTTATTTATTCTTTATTCTCCTTCCCCCTCCCTTTCTGAGAGGCACAGTGACAGATGTGTGTGTGTTAAAAGTGTCACAGGCCAGATCCCAGCAGGGAGCCACTTGGTGCCACTCTGCCAGAGAACTTGTAACTTCGCACCTCGTAACCAAGATAAGGCAGCTTTTCCCAGGAATTGAAAGAGATTGTAACCTCATAAAACCTAGCAGCGTAGGTGACAGAATTAAATGAACATTCCTCAAGTCAGTTTTTCCCCTATGTTTCATATCTTGAAATATGGAAGACTTACACAAAAACCGGGCACCTCGTCAGATGGCCAACGCGCAGACGGACGTTCTGATAGGTCTCTCCATTCGTTTCGCACGCTCAGGGAAGCAGAAACATAGATCTCGTGAACCGTGCGGCCTACAATCTCATAATTCATATCTACATGATCCTTAGACTTATTTGCATATTAAAAAGAGATTGTCGCTTGTGCAGCTGGAAAGTTATAGGACAAAATATGGATTATGAAAGTTGGTACTAATTCAGAGTTCCGCCCGACGATCCCTCCCTAAACAGAGTATTGGTCAGTTACTCAGAGCCACCCCCCAGCTGGGGGACTTTAAAAACACAGGCTAGCAGGCCTAATAAGTAAGTTGAAGACAGCTCCCAATTGTAAAATCAATATACCACCTGGGGAGACCCTTTGCTCTGAAACTTGGATCTGCTTATGGCTAAGGCTTAATTGGCAAGTAACTTTAACCCTTTAACTTCCTCTCTGATATATCTTTGCTGTGCTATGGTTCTTTGTATGTATATATATATCTTAGTTACATCTTTTTCTGTAAATATTTTTATTGCACCTGTTTGACTCTTTTAGTAGTAATAAATCTTTCTTTCTGAAAGTGTTGAACTGTTTCTAAAGCGCTTAATTGCAATTTACGAATTCCTGCCTTTAAAGAGACGCCACTGTGTTTGTTTAACCCTCTGCACAATCGGCCTGCGGTGACCGTATTGAGCAAACGAGTATCTCAACCATTATAGTGTATATTTGATAAAGGGAGTTTCCTCTTTCTCTGTGCAAAAAAGGGGTGGTGGCAGTGTAAAGGTTAGTGACATAATTAACCTGACCCAGTAACAAGTGCATTCAGGCTGCCGGCGCGTCGATTGCGTTCCATTAGCTGGACAATCGTTGTGCAGGGCACAGCTGAGTGTGGCGTTGTTACGCACGTCACATCGAGGTTTTGGATCGGCCAGCCCTTCGGGCACGAGTTTGGTGAGAAGGTCTGGGGTCTGACGCCGCGATCGTGACAACTTAAACGTTGCGAACGTGGGATCACTGGCATTTTGGTGGCAGTGATAACACGTCCGTGACACTCTATATACTATCAGCACATGGATTGGGGATAGTAGAAGAAGGGGAGGATCAGAGAAGACAGGAACAAACAGCCTTTTTACACAATGCAAAGGATTAACCCCTTAGGGTCCACAGTGAGTATAACAAGAATGCTTTACTGCATATACAGACTGAATTTACTATTGTAGGTTTAGTAACACTCTAAGATGCTGGTCCCAATGTTAGCCCTGCTGCACTTCAATGACTTCCCCATTGTGGGATACCTGGACAACCTTCTGTTGAGGGAACAGCCAAACAGGTGGATCCTGAATCTTCAGAAATTGTCAGTGGAACAGATAATTATGGAGTGTCTGGTTATAGTCCTGGACACATCTCAAGCCAGAGTGTTTCTTCCAGAGAAAAAAATTCAGACTCACTGGTCTAAAGGTTCACACTCTCAAATCCAAACGTTGTCTGACTGAGAGTCCTGGGCCTGATGGTAGCCTCTTTCAAGGCAGTTCTCTTTTCCCAGTTCCACTTCAGGAATCCAGAGAAAACTATTCTGTCATCGTGGGACAAGGCAAAAGGATCTCTCGACTGGCCAATTTAGTTGACACCAAGGACCAGGTTGTCTCTGGCTTAGTTGCTAAGGAATCTGGCTTTAGAGTTAGGGAAGTAATTCCTTCCCATCTTAGGGAAGATTTCAATGACAGATGCCAGCCTGATCTGGATTCAGTCAGACAATGCCACAACCATCGGTACAAGCAAATGGCAACTACCCCAACCTATAACTGGCCTTTACAGCAAGGAGCACATAGAAAGGCGACGCATGTCAAACAGCAACAAAGAAAATTTCCCAGCTCAACTTACCAGCCATCCTGCAACAAACTGAATTGTCCTGTCTAACAGTTCATGTTAAAAACATGGGTTTGGTATGCACACATTTGCAAATATGTACATGCTTAAGCTGCAGAGCCACTTAACAGCACCCCAGTATTATCTTCAGTCCTAAATTTTGGGAGCCTCCATAGCAAGAGCACATATATAATAATTTATTGAGGGCAGGTATGCCTGGAGGTAGGAACCAGAAGACTCACAGCCTTAAGAAAGCCAAAGTGGATAGAACTTCATATTCCAACCTTGTCTGTTTCAGTCTATTGGCTTCTAAGCCTGCAGTGCCTGGACCGATGGGAGTAGTCTTTAGACCCAGAGGTTTTTCAGCACTTGTTTTGCAGGTACGGAATGCCAGATGTGGGCCTCCAGGTTCAACAACAAACTGGATAGGTTTATGTCCAGGTACAGGGATCGGAAGCAGAGAATGCTCTTGTGACTGTTTCTGATCAGTAAACCCTGAACTTGGTGTTTTTTCCCTGAATCCTCTTCCTCTTCTGCTCTATAGGATAGGGATGGAGGGAATTCTGGTGATTCTTATTGTTCCTGACTGGCCCAGGTGGATGTGATATGCAAGCCTGTAAGACTCCTGGCACTGCTAGATCAAAACCATCTTCTATCCTAAAGGTCAGTTTGCTGCTTTTAGGTTGCAGGCTTTAATGGCATCACTGTTAAAGCCCAGATTCTAAGGGACAGGTGCATCTCTGAGTCTGTGATTTCTATGATGCTAAAAGCTAGGAGGTCTACTTCTCGTAAGGCCCATCATCAGACACAGAAGGCATATTTCACTTCTTATGAAACTCCTTGGGTGTGTCCACCCCAGGAATTTCTTGATGGGATGATTCTTCTTGCAGCTGGGTCTGGACCAGTGTTTGGCTCTTAGCGTTATTAATGG